TTGATGTCGAAGTGCGTTTCGACTGCGCAGGCTCGCACAAAGTGAGGTGTCGACTTCTGTCCGCGAGCGTTTTGCGTGGTATGTGCCGCAGATTCGTGCTCTTGCTTGATGTCGAAGTGCGTTTCGACTGCGCAGGCTCGCACAAAGTGAGGTGTCGACTTCTGTCCGCGAGCGTTTCGCGTGGTATGTACCGCAGATTCGTGCTTTTGCTTGATGTTGAAATGTGTTTCGACCGCGCAGGCTCGCAGAAAGTGAGGTGTCGACTTCTGTCCGCGAGCGCGTGGAAGCTTGCTTTGGCTTGATGTTGAAGTGCGTTTCGATTGCGCAGGCTCGCACTTTCTTTGCTTTTTTTGCGGCTCCAGGGACCGTGGGGAATTGTGTCGTGGTCCGGCGGCGCAGGTTTCCGGCGAAAGGTCCCGGGCTCGATTCCCGCCCTGTCCGCGCGAGCTTGTTTCCCTTTCTTCGGGCACGCTTGGATGGTGCTTCTGTGCTGCGACAGCTTCTCGATGGTAACAACAATCAAACAGCGACAGCAACAGCAACAGCGCCACATGCATAGAAAGAAAGAAATACAGAGACAAAACAACGAGAACCAAGGAAGAAGCTACCTAGCTAGCTAACTCACTAACTCAGGCACCCTGTTGAAACAAACACACAGATCTTGCCTTTTGTAGTGATGCTTGCGCAGCCATGGGCGCAATAATCTTGGCGACGCTGCTGGAAGCCGCGCCTGCCGATGTGCGCGCGGAATTCGAGCATCTCGGGTCATGTGTCTTGGGAGACCTTGCGGCTGCGCAGGCGGGTGCTTTGTTGGAAGGTTTATCTTCGGATCGACAGGGCTTTGTTGGAAGGTTTATCTTCGGATCGACAGGGCGGCGTGCAAGAACGCAGGGATTAGCCGGAAACAAGGTGGGAGAAGTTTGCAGCAGGAAGAGCTTCGGGCGCTGGCGAAGGACAAGCTTCTCGCCGTGCTGCCGGCGGTTTCATTTCAGGCTCTTCTGGGCTACGCCGTGCCTGGCGAGATGGGGAGGGAACTGGAAGAGTACGGAGAGGTCCTCGTGGCGGCGCAGGAAGCGGCCAGTGACAGAGCTCCTTCGTGCATTGGGAGCGGGTGCAGATGAGCTCAGGAAAGTGAGGAGTGTGTGGGGGATCGCAATACGAAATGCCAGTGGCGGAACACGCGCAGCGCAAAGTGTGCGCTCCGAGTTGCGCGGCGCCTGCATTCGATTTCTGACAGAAACGCCAGTCAGCGACGCTTTGGGTGGGGCGGAGCAGGGCATGACTGCGTCTGCGGCTGCGCGCGCGGGTGAGGGCATAAGCCCGACGAGCAGTTCCGGCGCGTTGGTGGAGCAAAGCGTGCAGGTTACCTTGGCGATGCTGCTGGAAGCCGCGCCTGCCGATGTGCACGCGGAATTCAAGCATCTCGGGTCATGTGTCTTGGGAGACCTTGCGGCTGCGCAGGCGGGTGCTTTGTTGGAAGGTTTATCTTCGGATCGACAGGGCTTATGGACGGCGTGCAAGAACGCAGGGATTAGCCGGAAACAAGGTGGGAGAAGTTTGCAGCAGGAAGAGCTTCGGGCGCTGGCGAAGGAGAAGCTTCTCGCCGTGCTGAGGTCCTCGTGGCGGCGCAGGAAGCGGCCAGAGTGACAGAGCTCCTTCGTGCATTGGGAGCGGGTGCAGATGAGCTCAGGAACGCGAGCCGTGTGTGGGGGATCGCAATACGAAATGCCAGTGGCGGAACACGCGCAGCGCAAAGTGTGCGCTCCGAGTTGCGCGGCGCCTGCATTCGATTTCTGAAAGGAACGCCAGTCAGCGACGCTTCGGGTGGGGCGGAGCAGGGCATGACTGCGTCTGCGGTTGCACGCGCGGGTGACGGCACAAGCCCGAGCAGTTCCGGCGCGTTGGTGGAGCAAAGCGTGCAGGTTACCTTGGCGATGCTGCTGGAAGCCGCGCCTGCCGATGTGCGCGCGGAATTCAAGCATCTCGGGTCATGTGTCTTGGGAGACCTTGCGGCTGCGCAGGCGGGTGCTTTGTTGGAAGGTTTATCTTCGGATCGACAGGGCTTATGGACGGCGAGCGAGAACGCAGGGATTAGCCGGAAACAAGGTGGGAAAAGTTTGCAGCAGGAAGAGCTTCGGGCGCTGGTGAAGGACAAGCTTCTCGCCCTGCTGCCGGCGGTTTCATTGCAGGCTCTTCTGGACTACGCCGTGCCTGGCGAGATGGGGAGGGAACTGGAAGAGTACGGAGAGGTCCTCGTGGCGGCGCAGGAGGCGGCCAGAGTGACAGAGCTCCTTCGCGCATTGGGAGCGGGCGCAGATGAGCTCAGGAAAGTGAGCCGTGTGTGGGGGATCGCAATACGAAATGCCAGTGGCAGAACACGCGCGGTGCAAAGTGTGCGCTCCGAGTTCAAGTGGAGCCAAAGGTTGTGGATGCACGCCTTCCCGGCTTACTTCAAACATCATTTCACGTGGAGCCAGTGGATGCGGACGCACACCAGGCCGGTTCCCTTGAGAGGCAAGGAAAACGCCGTCGTCTGAGTTGCAACAAAGCCCTGGTCCTTTTGGTGTCCTCCAAGCGCACCGAACAACAAGAAGCTGCCAGCGGGCTCCGTTTGGTCACCAAAGACATCATCGATGGTTTAGCAGAGGCAGACGCTGCCGCGGCCGAAAAATTCACAGCCATAGCTTACTGCACTGTTCATATCTTGAAGGATTTTGTCTTGGACCCACCTCGGACGGGCAAAAAGTTGCAGTATGCCTTGGCCATATAGCGTGCTCCAAGTCTGCGACGGAAGGGCAAGCCGAGCTCATTGTGGAACAGCTGCAGCTGTTGACGTGGCCACGAAGTGCATGCGCCAACTGCTCCTGATGTCTAGCGTGACTGCTACGCGCGGACCTCCGCCTGGCACGCATGCTCCCTGGACAGAGTCGACAGCGCCCGCCTTGCAACAAGCCCTTTGCCCAGCTCTGAGTGCATACCCCCGTGAGAGCCGTGGGCGAATGCACCTACAGCACCGGGCGTACACGCCTGCAGCGACTGAGCGAATCTTGGAACCCTTGCGGCTGCGCAGGCGGGTGCTGGAAGTGTCTCTACGGATCGCTGACGGACGGAATGCAAGCGCGCAGGAGTTAGCCAGAAGCAAGGAGCAGCTGGTTTTGTCGACGTAGACCCACTTCAGCTGCCGTGCTTTGCTCGCGGATAAAACCAGTCGCGTTCTTGCGCCCCCCGTACGTTGTATTTGCTGCTCCACACACTATTCACGCACGACTCCATGTGTTCCTTCCTCATATTCCTTGTCTTACTGCTTTTCCATTCCTCGTGTATGCACTCAACGTGTCATGTTCCTTGCTGTTGCACTGTATAACTCGATAGCGCCAAAGGGCTCAGAGATCTTGCGTGGTGGTGGGTTGTTGCCCTACCTGGTTGTCCGCACACGTGCACTAGCTTTGCTTCGATGGCAACGCGGTACTTTGCCTAGAGCTGCGGTTTCACAACTGCATCGCGCCAATTCCTCTATGTGTCTGCATGTGTGCCTGTATGCGCGTGTCCCTGCGCGTGTCCCTGCGTGTCCTTGCGCGTTCCGGCACAAGCTTGCACGTGCGCCGCTGGCGGTTGCGCAGGGACAGCCGATGTCCAACCTTGTGCATAACCAATCGGTGATGCAGCGGATGCGCTTTGTTGTGGTGGAACACAAGAAGAGTAGTTAGCCAGAAGCAAGCACAAGCTGGTTCCTTTCGACACAGCCCCACTTCAGCTGCCATGCTTTGCTCGCGGAAAAATGCAGTCGCGCTCCTTTGCCCCCTACTCTGTAATTTACTCATCCACACACTAGTTACGCACGAAGCCGTGTGTTCCTTCCTCACATGCCTTGTCTTACCTCCATGCTGCATGCAACAACGCTCCTGTGCGTGAAAGTCGTGTCGCTTTGGCTCAGCTCCGTCCTTTTGCCGCCGACACTCTCCGTACTCATGCCTCGACGCTGCCTGACGCATCCGAGTATCGTTGACGCTGAGACCGCCGCGCTCTCGAACAACACTGCGGCTGCGCGTGAAGATGACGCAGCGCGCCATGCCTGCTGGCCTCTTGGAGACACGCGGTGCCGCCAATCTGCCGGGCTTTGGACGAGCCCGCCGGAAGCACCCAAGTCGTTCGCCACAGTACAGCTCGCCCCAGCAGAAAGCGCACGTATTCGACCGCCTGCTGCTATGTACCCCGTGCTTTGCGCTCAGGCCGCGTGTCTAGGCGATGTCTGTTTGTTCTTGCGGCTCATGATGACCTGCTGTGCTGCACGTTGCCGCGTCTGGATGCAGCGCGCCCGTGCCGTACGCCAAGAAGTAGAAGCTTACGCAAATTTTATCCTGGCAACACGGCTGTGGCTGCCAGGGTTCTTGGCGCACGATGTCATTGACGTGCGTGTGTCTTGGAATGCGCCCGAGTGGATCCATGCACAAATCCGCCTGCCGACTTTCTTTGACAACTCTTTCCGCTGTGCAGACGAAGCTACCATGCAACAGTGGATCGACCAACATCCGCGCCTTCGCGGCCTGCCGCCCCTCGCAGCGCTGCACCGCATGAACTGCCTCGATAACATGGCGCCAAATGGGCTGAAAAGAATACCCCGCGCCTTTTCGTTATGTAAGGGGCCGTCCCTTAACTTGTTTCGCAGGCCAAAACCATTGCAAACCGATACAGAGGAAAAAAACCGATACCCCCAGAAGCCATGAAGACACACATCAGGTCCTAGTTGTTGTCGCAAACCAAGATTGCGGAATCATAAATTTGCAGGGCCCAAACCGATACCCAAACCGATACCCAACCGATACCCAACTCATTGGCCGCCATGCCGAATCCAACCAGCTGCCCTGCAGCCTTCTCTGGAGCTGCCAACATGTACTTTGTGTACTACATTTGTACTGAAAAGTTGCGACTGCCGCTGTGGAGCTGCCAAAATGTACTTCATATACTACACCATACTACACTTGCTTGCACTGAAAAGCTGCGACTTTCGAGCCGGAGCTGCCAAAGTGTCCTGCGCATACTACTGAAAAGTTGCTACTTTCCAGCTGGAGCTGCCAAAATGTACTTTGTGTGCTACACTTGTACTGAAAGTTGCGATTTCCAGCTGGGGCTGGGAGCTGGCAGAGTGTACTTCGCCTACTACACTTGTACGGAAAAGTCGCGACTTTCGAGCCAGAGCTGCCAAAACACCGCAAACCGATGCAGAGGAAAAAAACCGATACTGACCGATACTGAGGCATAAGGATACAAGGGTTGTCCACGGGGTTTTTTTTTCCAACCCAAATGAGTTTGACGCCTTCTTATGCACCCTGCGATCTGGGAGCGCGCGCTTTATGTACACGCCTGCTGTGGAAGGGTCCGAGCCAGACAGCCCAGTCTTTGGGCCTGCCTTGATAACGCTTCTGTGCTGCGAGAGCTTGCCACTAGCACTCTGCGTGCGCCGCGTCGGCTGTTTGGAGCAACAAGCTACCACGCCTTGACCGCAGCGCCTTTGCATCTACCAACAGACTGGCCTGCTGCGGCTGCGCGCAGTGCCACGCATCTATCCCAGCAGCCCTGTCCTGCGATTCTGCCGTCTCACCGATATGTGCTGCTCATGGAAGAAAAAACGAGCATGCCTGCTGGCCATGCCTGTGCGCCTTTTTTCTTCTTGGTGCTGCATGTGTCTCTACTCCCACACACGTGTCCTCGTCTTTGTGAGTGTGCGCGCGAATACCGCAAAATGATGTTGCAGCTTCCTGACAACAACCGCCGTTTTGCGGGGCTGCCCGCACAATACTCTGCAGCGTGTGACCGCCGCCTATCACTGTTTGGGGTCTCGTGCTGGGGTAATTACTTCCTTCCCCCACGAAAACTAAAACCATGATTTTGACGGCTCGCGGGGGTTGTCAAAGGCAAGGTTGTTTCCTTTGAATACAAAATGGTCACTCCCAACATTGGCTGCCCTCGCGTGAGATATGCTCCGCGAGGCTGCCGGCCAGGGCGAAGGTGGCCAGGCAAGCAGCAGAGGCAACACCGGCAGCCCGGTCGCAATGGGTTCAGTTCCAGGCATGCGCCTTCCGGCTAAATAGGGAGCTTTCCGTGAGAAGAAGGCTCCCACAAAGGAGCAAGTTACTCATACTTGAGGAAGAACACAAGCCGCGGTTCAACCATTTTTGAGCAGCCCTGCATGTGTTCCTGACAGAAAAGTTCGGCCATCAATGTGCCTCCCATAAATGGAGCTATCTTTGCTCGCTCAAAGCTTGCTAAGCTGGCCGAAGCTGCAGGTGGTCCATGCAAAGGCTCATGTTTTCATCCAGAAAGCGGTTGCATGTGGCAAGGTCTAGCGGCACAAGTCTCATTGGGAACAGACATACGCAAACACACTGTGGGCATTCGGTATGTTTGACGATGACTTGACGTGCTCCAGACTGCAGTCCTCACACGGAGACGGGCCAACGAGACGCGAGCGGTGTCAGTCTTGGAGATGCACATTATGTTTGCTTTGGTGCGGATGAGGAATCTGCGATGGGTCAGGGCATGTTGGCATTGTGGGAAGTTCTGACAGCAGACACATGGGGGGGATGCTGTATCAGCCAACTTGGATCGCGTTTTGGTTTGCGGGAATGTGTGTAGATATTGCTTTGAAGTGTCCTGCATTGCCTGCAAAATGCTGAGTATTTGTTTCTAGGCATCCATTACGATCTCCAAGAAGATGAGCGAGCTTGATGAGCGAGTCAAAGCAGGGCACTCAGCCAGCGTCCCGCAGCGGTGTTGCACTCAGTCGGGCCGTGCTCAGTTGGTGGCTGGTTCCGAGTTAGAGTCAGGATGCATGTTGCAATAGAAAGATGAGTAAAACACATTTGTTTAAAGGAGTTTCGCGAAAGATTGGAGTATGTTGAGTACCTTGTAGCCTTGTTGCATCGGTGTGTGTGTGTGTTGCGTATAAAGCGGATCCCTGAAGAGGGTCACCATTGTTTCACTCCCGTCCCTTTTTCTGGAAGGCCATCGAATCACGAGCAAAAGATCACACTTTGACTCTTTGGTGTTTGCAATGAGGGAGTCAAAGTTGTTGAAATGCAGGTTGGTAAAGCGTTAGATCCGGAGTCAGGATGGCCGGCAGAGATCCGTGCGCGATTGTTGAGGTCACGTTCAGCGTTCGTATTTCGGTCCGTGTAAACAACTACAAGGGGAAGGGATGGGAAGGGTATGTTTTTTGGCCAGCCCCCTTATTGAGCTCGCAGAGAGTCTCGCGGGGTGTTGATGCCTTCCATTTCCCAAATATCATTCAGGGCCTAGCATGGCGCTTGACAACTTGAGAGGGTGCTCAGGGTGTGGTCCTTTCCCTACCCCCGAAACTGGAGATGCCCTGAGACAGCTGAACTGAGGTTTTGTGAGTCAGTTAAGCGAAGAGGTGTGTCTACAAGTTTACATATATATATATTATTTCAAAACTTGGCCTCTTTATTGGGGTGTTTCTGTCAAATCTAACGGACGTCGCAAAGATGGCGAAACTAGTTATGGTGTGACCAACGTTGAACGGCGCGTAAATAAATAGCTGTCGAGGCCGCTGGGCAACTTACAACTACTCAACTGGCCCTGCCGTTCTTATCCGTGATACGTCTCAGATAGTTTTCAAGACATGCGTCTGAGTGATTTGGGCGTAAAATAGGTAGACACACATGCTTGGCTGGGCATGTGTGTGTATATATGTTTGTGCATTTCTCTTTATATATTTATATTTGTAGAAACATGTACACTACCCAACATGTGTGAGTTTGTTTCCGACCTGAACGATCATCCATGCCTTGACCCTGAAGCCAACCTCAAGGCTCCTCCGCAAACCTGTGCACACACGCACACATATTTTCCGTGCTCGCCAGCAGCGCAAAGTGTAAACGGGCAAGTGCTTGTGTGTGTGTGTCATCTTCAGTCCTCAGCAAGATTTCCCTTGTTGCCGTTGTGCTTTTCACGTCAGCTACTTCAGCAACAAGGGGTTCTACGCCGCAGTGCTTGCACGCGTCTTGGCTCGCAACACGTTGTGGCTGAACGCTCGCTCAGAAAGTCAGCGCCATACAAACAGGGCAGCGTCTAGTCAGTAGATCTTTGGTTTGTTAACTTCTAGGCTGACGCAAATTAGTTGACCTAGCGCACAACTCATTGCAGCGGCCGCGCGCAAATCAGGCATTCATGTCAGAGGCAAGAGGTCTGCGCAGCTTCCATTTTTTTGCTCACTGACCACACCGCCTCTGACAAGTCAGCGTATGTCCCAACGCAGGTCCACACAGTAACCCGATTACATATATACATATATACAGACACATAATAATTAATACGTGTATATGTGCGTTCTTTGGGTTCAGCGTGATCAATGTCCAGTCCATAGAAGCATGTGTGATTTGGTTTCCATGCTACTTTATGATACTGATGGAACAGTCCCTGATACGGAAACACGAGAACTGAGAAAATCACTCGGCCATAAGATGCGCACAAATGTCTGAGCCGGCTCTAGTTAGCGTTACTTACAACCTGCGTTCTTGCACCGTTTATTTGACAACATCACGGCTCAATACTTAAACTACGCGCAACTGAGCTGTTCCAGAACATGTACAGTGCCGGTCAAGCGCTTGAACTTGTTTCGGTAGGATGCGCGCGCACACCTGCCTGCATTATCCTGCCCAGTTCAACCATGCCGCCTGCAAGCAACAATCGTCAGGAATTAGTTCAACAAATCATTGGCAGTGGACTCGTTCCGTAACTCTCCTCTGAGCTACCTCGAGCGCACGCAGCTGGAAGAGGACTCTTTTTTATGTTGGCGCCAGAGTCGGCAATGGCTGTTCGTGTTTCCGCGCAGAGGTTTTCTCTTTAATTTGATGCCCCTGAACGGTTCTGAACGGTTCTGAACAGTTCAGAGGCTTTGCTGCTATGGATTACGCGTTTCAATGAATTGTCAACGCAACCTAGCGCGCGAGTCCAGTATCCCAGGCACAAAGTCATTCGGTACTTGGTTAGTTCCGAGAACCATTGGTCCCCTGAACCGTTCCGAACTGTTCGGGCATTGTACGAAATAGATTCCCTGAACCGTTCTGAACCGTTCAGGCAGTCTACGAAATGGATTTCCTGAACCGTTCTGAACCGTTCAGGCAGTGTTCGAATGTGCTTTTCTGAACCGTTCTGAACCGTTCGGGCAGCATGAAGGAGAAAAAAAAAGTAGTTCCAGAACCGTTCTGAACCGTTCTGAACCGTTCAGGTGTTTTGCTGTGGCTTGAGCAAGCCCTGAACCGTTCTGAACCGTTCAGCAGGTTTGCAAACTTACTTTGCTGAACCGTTCTGAACCGTTCAGCAAGCCTTGCTGAACGGTTCTGAACCGTTCAGTAGGCTTGCAAAATTGAATTGGCTGAGCCGTTCTGAACCGTTCGGCGAGCGTGTTCAATATCGCCTTGTGGAACCGCTCTGAACCGCTCCAAGAGTGTTCCGCGAAGAATAGAAGCTATTCCGAACGACTCTGCGATTCATAAGCTACCATTCTTACGAATCACCTTGGACAAGTCGGCATAAGCAAGTGGTTTGGCCTATGAGCAGCCAACATGTGGAGCACATTTATGATTTCATCAGCATGTTGCTAGTCACACTCTCGGAAATGTGTATGTCTTTGTGATGTATCGCGATACTTACAGCTAATGTCTGAGCGTCGCCATTTATCCTATACACATGGCCTGGTCTCAAAAAAAGATAATGCTTCAGTTTGCGAACAACAGCAGCATGTTGCTTACATGTGCCAGGTAGGTTGCAGAATTGCGACTATCACATGAACCGTCTCTGCATCGATTTCGCATGGCTTAAACTCTTGCGAGAAAAAAGGGAACGCAGAAGAAACTCGCCTTTGGCTCTAGATTTGTTTGCGATGCTTGTGGACCCCCAAGCTGTTGAACCTCTGCTTGCATTTTGGGGCAGGCATGAGCCGACTGTCAGCCAACTATTTGCACGGCACTGTATTGTTTTCCAACTTACTTTCTGCGTGGCTCGACCTAAGCGTGGGTTTGCTGCAACTCGCGGGACCAATGTTTGATGTATGCTGACATGATGATGAATTCCGTGTCTGGGCCGCGCTGGGCGCATACCAAGCGCCGCTATTTGGATCGCGGCCCGAATTTGTGACTTAGACTGTGTTTCCCTTTGAAGGGTCTTGGCATGAAGTCAAGCAGGTTTTCCAACATGAACTCAGACATGAGTAGTTGCATAGTCCAGGCACCATTCAGCTGGCAATTTTCTCACCCACAGAGATAGAGACCAAGTTTTGAATTAATATATATATATATGTATAGATACATGCGTATCAATATGCATATACGCGAAGCAAATGTTACACACACACACACACACAGAGCATGTCAATGTAATTTATTGTGATCATTATTGCGAACTCGTGAGTACTGGTGCTTTGTTTGTGTTTGTTGTTTGGTTGTATCGTTGCCTGTTTGTTTGCGTTCTGCTTTGTCGCATGCTTGACCCAGTGTGGTCCAGATCAATGACTCTCGCATATGACTTGTCAAATTCACCCCCTCAAGGGTTCTGCCCACATGGCAAACCCTCTTTCAGGCTAACTTCGGGAAGGGGCAGAAAGAGTTTCCGAAAAGGGTTCCCTTATTCTACCAGGGCCACTGAACATTTGTCTCCTTTCTCACCCCAGTCTTTGACTCAAGGCCGTCGAGAAGCCCGAAGAGGAGATGTTCTGGAGGCGTGTCATGAGGGCAGGCCGCAACGCAGACGTTTCGTCCCTGAAGGGACGATGGTTTTGCCTTTTTTGGGGATCAGAAAGCAAGTGACCCTTTGAAAAAAGTCCGAATTTGTGAGACAGATGCATGGCATGCGCAACGACAGATCTGCACCTTGTTGAATGACAATTCGACTAGGGGGTGAACTCATCAACATCTGTGTTGAAAATTGAGAAGATGCCTAAATGTGTATCACATACGGACCAAACACAAACTACCGGAAGAGAGTCTCTGTGTGTGATAACATTGTGGCATTGGTGACATCACGCGCAGCGTAAAGATGGCGAACGCTTCATCCTGTCAACCAGCGACAGAGAAACCACTGCGTAGTCCGTGCAGGCCAGGATGATTGAATAGCAAAATGTGGGTTTCATGAGCGAAGCAGGAGTCCCCATCTTTATGCATACGCCTGCATGGGCATGTGCAACAGGCAGCCAATCATACATGCATCATACCACTGATAGTCTAAAGGGCCACGAGCCTTTTTTACAGGCCCCCTGACACATACCCACGCGGTTCTTTCCATTCGCTGGACCCGGCATGTTCGCCATCCTCCCGCGTCCCATGAACATGGCCATGTTGCATGTCACCCATTGCCTTGTTTTGCTTTACCTAACATGAAGATCAGACCCGAAGCTGCCCTTCGACCGCGGTGGCTATTTGCTGTGATACCGTGGGAATCCCCAAGGAAGTGACCCATATGGGTGTGGGTCAAAAATAGGTAACCAGAATGGAACCCTGGTAAATGGCAACAAAAACTAGCACCTGTGGTCTGGTGGTTTAATTTTGACCCATGCCCATATTGGTATCACAGACAGGGCGTTCATGATTGGGCCAATTGCGCCAGGGTCCTGGCATATTGCACGGCCTGCCGGACGCCCTGGTGCAAGCTGCCTTGGCGACGGCACACCTGCCGGGAACCTGGGGGATGTGGATCGCAGGGTGCCTGGGTGGTGTTTTTTGGTTTGGAGGCAAACCCGTTTGGGAGTTGGCGCGAAGGGAATGAACGGGAAGGCACCTTGGAGACATTGTCAGAAGTAGAGGCACGCTTGTTGCACTGTGTGTGACATGTTGCACCACCTCTTTGAAAGGGGGTCCCAAAAGAAAGAATTGGCGAACGCGCGTCGCTTGGCATGACCCTGAAGGTTGTCTTATTTGGTTGACAACAAACGTGCCAGAGAGCTGTTTTGGATGCCGTGCCTACTTCTGAGTCGATTGATGCGGGTGAATCATAGCAATTTGGTAGAGAGCCGACCTCGCCCACTTCACCCCTATCCCAAAAAGGGGCGCCTATTTTTGCCGTCCCCCCTAACAGGAAGACTTTGTTGAGGGTCCCAGCCTGTTCCAAGGTAAGCCAAACAAAGTCGTATTCAAACAACGTTGGTGTGAATATATTGCAACAAGGTGTTGGCGCCTCCCCGGCCGCGCCCCAGCCAGAATCAGAATGTTCGTTTTCTCTCCCCATCACGGGACATCGAGTCCTCAACGCCACCGAGGTTTGAAAGGTGATGCCAAGGCTGAGGGCGCGCAGGGCAACCGTTGCGCCCGGAGCCTGAGCTGTTGTTCGTCGAATCGAACAATGGGTGCGGGGTGGGGGTGTGGGGCGTGGGTGGAGGGGCTGTGAGTGTGCTGATAAGAAAGGCGATCCATGGCCTCAGTTGGAGAGGGCAAATGACCTCACACCCTTGAAGCATTTTGTCTAGGGCGAAATTGCAAAATTTGCTCATGGTACATGTCCTCAAGTTGTAGAGTTCCTGTTTTGGCTGCAGTTGATTCGTTGCAGCTGCGGTACAAGGGTCTTTGCAACAATAACACCGCAATTCAAGCAATTCAATCGGAACATCCCTCCGGACGGATTCGGCTGATTGAACATAGGTCTTGCAGTTGGTGACGAGGATTTGACCCATTGCAAGCAAGCCGGTTCGTTGGCTTGAGTCATGCTGCAAGACAGGACATGTCGTGGGAAGACTACACCGACATCCTGACGACTCTTTGCTGCATTACGTGAATGTGGAGTGGCCGGGGATTGTTATCAAGATTGCAACACCAATGGACAAGAGCCAGCTTGCAGGGTCCAACTGAGGACATGTTCCCACGTTCGAATGCTGCTGCCGTGTCAGTCGTGCACGGCAGAACCGAAATTCACGCATCGCCAGATGGTTTTTTTGTGGGGTAAAGGCAAGCTAAAGGGAAGGCACCGATTTGTGTTGTGTTTGTGCTCCCGAATTTCAGGCATGTCAGAGATCATTCCTGGCACCTGGATGTCCCTTTTTAAAGCAATTGTTCAGGCATGCTTCGCGGGTGGGAAAAACCATGGTCGTGGATGTGAGGGTCAGCCGCATTTCAGAAAACAAATGCCACACCTTCTGTCGCCCGAAGGTAGGATTCAAGACACAGCTGGAGTCCAGCTTGGTCCGACACATGGTAACATTCGTCCTTTGGCTTCCCGACACATACTTGGAGCATCCCATGTTTGGCAATGCATAGTTTGACTTAAACAACGGGCTTAAATTCAAGAATCAAAACTCTTGGGTCCAACCAGGAGGGTAGTGAACAAAGCGAGACCTGCAAACGAAGCCCACAACCCTCCTGCGCGAATCTGAATCTGAGGAGGTCGGTGCCGCTGATCTCCCATAAGAAGGCGGGGTCAGGGTGTAAGTGTAAATTTGAATTGCACCAACAGTAGACATGATTTAAACCTACCAACTGTTTTGGAGAGTGTTCCCCTAAACTTCATAGCCAGGGATTACTCGAATCTGCTGGGTCCAGTTTGCAAGGGTGTCCCCCTTTGGGGGTCTAAATATTTTTTCGTACGTTCTTGCTCGACGATGGCTTGAAGAACCACCGGCCAGAAGAAGGGCTGGATGCTGAGTCAGTCCGAGGGCCGGGGTTTGTTCATTTGCTTGGCCCAATGCTTCCATGCACCATGACTCCAGTTAGCCAGAGGGTTGGAGGTAGGGCCGGCGCCGCTTTTCGGGTCATCTCGCCCGCTAAGACAAGTTCACATTGGGGTGCGTTGCTTTTCGGGCTTGGTTGAAACGGAACCAAAGGGAAACCACACATCTGGAGGTCAAAACACAGACACCCATGTTGTATGAGCCACAAGTTGGCCTGATCCACGCCCAGAGAGTGAGAGAGGACCAGGTGTCGAACTTGAGGTGTTTACATTGAGGTGCTTCGGGGGGTGTCCTTTGGGATTGTAACAAGCTGATGCTAAAGCGACTTTGCTTCAACCACCCATTTGGGGGTTTCTCAAAAGAGAGGCCCCTGAGGTTTCCTTTTAAACACCAACCAAAGCGGGTCCCAATTGTGAGGACAACTTCCAGACGGTTAAAGAGAAGAACCCTGAGAATTAACTTTGTATAGCGAGTCTTCCGGAAACTCAAGAACTAACCAAAAGTGAGTGATAAGAGAGCGAACAGATGTAAAAAGATGGAGAATTGCAAATAAAAGAATTACAATGTAAAAGAGATAACATATGAAGTTATATTAGTTCTCCAGTTTGTATCTTTGCATCATGTACTTCTTCTTTCTCAGGATCTTTTCCCTCTCACTCCGTTCATTCGCTAATAATAAAACCCCAAAGGTAAGCAAATACAAGAAAACCAAGGGAAAAGACGGATAAAAGCATTCTAAAGTTGTAATAGCTAGTCCGGATTAACCCGCTGTAACGACAATATGATGGAGGCTTACCAATTTCCAGGATTAACAGACGGGAAATGCCTCCAATCATCTGTCTCATGTCTTTATCCTTGCCACATCTTCATTCTGGAGAATTCATATGTTGGGGAAGGTAATAAAGACGGTGACAGAGAGGGAATGGGATCTCTTTCTTCCCGTGCGTTTCCTCACTCATCCAGCATCCCATTTGGGCACCCCAACCCAAAAAAACCCCTGCGCCAGGCGCAAATCTTAACGCGGGAGTGCTGGCGTGAGGGCGATGCAGACCCCAGCGGCATCGGCGTGGTGACCGCCTGGCGCCAAGCATGGCAACCGAAATGCATGGGTGTGGGTGAAAAATGGAACCACCAGTGGTGGTCACCAGACTGCGGGTTTCCATTCTGGGTACCTGTCTTTGACCAGCCACATTTGGGTTTCTCAAGGTAGCAGTTTACCGACCAACAGGGGGACCGTCATTTTTGGACGCACCCAGATATATATATATATATGTGTGTTTGCTCAAAGGAGGGGAAGCCACAAATTATGTGTTGTCCTTTCGTGTTCCCTCAAAAACCAGCCTGAAAGGGGTGCCCTGACACAAATTCAATTCACGCCCAGATGAGTATGTGATGTTTCGGGGTGTGTTTCAAGCCGAAAGAACACCGCCATGTTTCGAGGGTCCCGCTTTTGGACAGAAACCCGTGGTGATTCTTTCTGCACGAGGGACGCGAGGGACCCCAAAAAGGTGGTGACCTGTTGGTTGCTCAACAAAAACACTAGCCAAAAGGGGGAGTCCCATTTTGAGACATATGGGTGTTTCTTAAAATGGTGGTCCTCATTTTTATTTGGGGCAGACCCATAGAACTGGCTGAGCCTGATTTCGGTTTGGGGAATCACCAATCCAAACCGCATGGGGGGCCCCTGGCCCATTCCTTGCGCGAATATGGGTATGCGGGGCGCCCAAAAATGATTTTCCTTTGGTGTCGATTCAAAATTCAAAACAACCTAAAGGCCCTCAAAGACAGACACACCCACATCTTGTATGATACTGGTAGTGGGTGTGTTTTGCAGACCTTGTATGCGAACCTGGGCGCAAAGTGAGACATTTTGCTCATATGATTCCTAGAGGAGGCCAATGGATTGATAATTTGACCGCCCAGGAAGAAAAAGAAAAATCATGTTGCCGGCTGAGCCTTCCGAGACATGAACAGAGGCAACAAGGTTCTGAAAATGGGCCGATCTGGGCCGCGATTTTTGCCAACAGTGCTGGTCGTGACGAAATGCCCGTTGCTTTGTTTCCGCCAGGCAATGTGAGATCTGCCACGTGGCCTGCTTTTTCCCTCCCTCAACAAGCGAGGTGTGGTCAAGCTATCCAGTAGTCTATAGCCAATTTTGGGGTTACTCAATCCAACCAGTCGACAGTTTCCATGTGATGTGCATGTCGGCAGTCTTGGCGCAGTGGTGCACTTGGAGCCACTTGTAGGTGTTAACGGCATTTGTTTCAACGTTGCACGTATGCGCTGGCAACGAAGATGGCCCGCATTGCAATGCAGCAGCGATTATTATGGGATTGTCTGAAGGCTCCTTGCCCATTGCAGGAAAAGCGCATATTGACTACGGCTAACCCAATCCTAGGTCTGCATCGTGCCCAAGGTGGCAGCCGAGGAGTATGGGCAACAGCTCTGCAACAATGGAGCCTTGGACAGTAGGAGGGAACATGTCCAGCCAGGCTAGGAACTAATTGGTGGCTTCTCTTGAAATTCCTGAAAGGCGGCCAGCATGGGTCCCTGCAACCAAGTTGGGTCACCCTATATAACAAGAACATAGTCTGTAGCTTTCGAGGCACTACTAAGTGGGTGTTTGGATGCATGTCGTACAAACCCATTACCAACCTATGTGCGAGGGTCCTTTATGAAGCCATTTCCCATTGCATAGGTTCACTCCCCATGAGCGTTCCCATTCGAAAAGGTGTTCCATTGCCCCCGGTCCGAGGAATTCAAGCCAGTGTTGCGCCGGACAGCTTCTTCAGGGGTGGCCCCAGCGGTCAATGAAGAAGCGTGCCTCAGACGCGGTTGCCGCCCGTTCCGGCCAGGCTACTCTTTCCCGGCCAGGCTACGTCCATGTGCCCAACTCAAGTTTCTGGCCATCCGTAGGGTCCGTGGAATGGATCCCTTGGTTCATTCGGTTCTTGGATGGGAGTTTGTTGTTGTCCAGGCGTGGAGAGTCACAATCCGCGCCTTTAGACGGTCACACCCAGTCGGCTTCCCTTGAATGCGCCTCTTCGCCACCCTTCAGGGCGAAAAATAGAGCCAATGTTTACGACTCTCTCCATGGTCCACAGGCCCCTTTCACAACATGAGTCCCGCTTACCTTTTCTGCCCACACGGGTATTCCGACGTAGATGCGACCTGGTCCAAGGGTGGACTTCATCCTTGGGAACCTGTCGGCCAGGTGCCAATGCGCGGAGCTTGGCGCTGGCGCAGGCCATGCGCAAGCACCTTGGCCGAAGGGCCTGAAGGGGCACAATGGGGGTACGGGCGCATTTTTGGGAGGGTACCTATTCTTTGCTTGGTTCAAAGGGAAGCCAAAAGGAACACCACCATTTCGGGTTTGACACAAACTCTCATGACGCATAGTTTTGGAGGGGCAGGAGTACACCGCCTCAATAAACAAACCTCAAACAAAACAGCAAGCTGGCCCTCAGAAATGTTAAGGGTTTGTTCCTCTAAATAACTTGTTTGCACCCTTGCCTTGGTGTTTGGACGCAGTCCAGCCCTTCCAATCCAGCTGGACCCCGCTTGAACCCCACCTCTGGCCTTGTCTATGTTTGGAGCTAGTACTTCACCAAACCAACCAGAAATCATTATTTTGGGGGTCCATGTTCATGATGTTTTTTGTTCAATACCAAACTGTTCAAAGAACATGCCAAAAGGGCGGCCCCCTACAAAGTCATCAATTCACACGTAGCATTGCCCCTTGAAGAGTAATTGCGTTTGGAACCTGACCGTACTACAGAACCAAATCGAAAGGACTTTTCGGAATATGACCGTGTTAGCTTAATCTAACAGCTGGACATGAGCCAGTACCTGAATGAGGTCCCCTATTCTTAATGAAAGGTCCACCCAATAGGGCACCAAATGATCCCAGCTCCTTCTGTTGAGCGGCAACCCTGGTCAGATGCACATTTGAGGCGACGGAGATGCACTTGCAGTTGCCGCGAGGCAGGCAGTGCACCAGGTAAATTGCATATTTACGGATGTCATTTTTGTTTTATGATTATTTTAAGAGTCTGTGTTGTTGTTTTTGTTACCAGTGAAGCCGGCGAAACCGGCGGGCGGAAATTTCAAGAATATAAGAAATATTATAGTTACTTTTACATTTCTTCAGTTGAATTAAAAGGAGATAGATATTGATTGTGTTTAATCGGTTTGTGTTTGTTTTTGTTTTGTGTTTTTGATTTTGTATTATTTTTATTTATGTTTTTGTTATTTATGTTTTATTATTGATATTGGTATTGTGGTATTGTATATAGGAAAAAATAAAATTATTATTTTTTTGTTATTGGTTGTTTTTTGATTTTTTATTTTTAGATATTTGTTGGTTTTGTAATTTTATAAATATATATTTTGATTTGATATATAAAAAATATTATTATAATAATGGTTTGATTTAATTAAAATTTGTTTTTGAAATTATGTTATTGAATATAATTATAATTATATATTGGAAATAAAATAATAAAATATATATCGAATTATATTTAAATTGGTTTGGTTTAAAATTTTATAATAATATAAATTTAATTTATATATATATAATTAATTTAAGATTTTTATAATTAAAAAAATAGGATATTAATTTTTTTAAAAATATATATGTTTATGGAAAAAGGATTTGGTCGATTTAAATTATAATATAAATTAAATTTTTATATAATAAAAAATTTTAAATTTTACTAAACCAAATAAATATATATTATATATATTTAATTTATTTAAATTAGTATATAAATGTTATAAAATATGTTTTTATTTAATTTAAATAATTTAATATTATTAATATTATATTATTATGATTTTATATTTTATGAAATTAGTTTTTTTTAAGTATATTAAAAACAAATATTTATATATAATATGTTTGTTTTATTCATTATATTTATATTTATATATTTTTTATTTTTTTTTATAATAATTTTGATTTATTTTAATTAGGTTATTAATATTTGATAAACATTTGATTATAATCTCGAATTATATTTATAAGTATTTGATATATTTTATTATACTATTAATAGTTTTTTATATGTTTTGCAATTATATTATTTTGATTTATTTATAATTCTCTTTATATATTTACAAAATTTCTATACTCGTCACCCGATTAAATAAATGGAAATTTATATGAGAGCATATAGGCGCAAATTAGTCTCGAACCCGTTATTAGGTGATGTTAGTTGATGCGTACGTAAAACCCGGTGTTTTATGGGGGAAGTGTTTGTTGAATGTGTTGGTTATTTAATAATAATTATTTATTAAACAATTATTATTTATTATATTTAGAAAATGATTATGAATAAAGAATAAAGCAATATTTTAGAATATTGGTGAAGTATGGTGCGCTAAGCGATTACAAACACGGTTTAAATAAATTCTACATTCGTAACCTAGAATAGAGGGATAGAAACTAACATGAAAGGGGAAAATTAGCCAAGGGGCCGCTGGAGATACATTTGCACGATCTTGGTTAAAACACATATGAAACACGATGTGCTCGAGGGGAGGTACCCGTAATTGAATGTTATCAATTTGTTAGAAGGTTATTGCCTATAATATATAGGAATGACTATGAATAAAGAATTTAGTAAGATTGTAGTGCAGCACTAAGCATTCATAGATATAATTCGAGCATTTGTTTAACTTATAATCTGGCTCAGACAAATAGAAATTAATATAAAAGTACATAGATACATACCAGCCAATAGACGATTAGAGGTATATTTGAGTAATATTAATGGAAATATATGGGAAACAAAAAATAACAGAGGTAAATATTAGGCATATCCCAATTCACCAATATAGATTATAATATTATTAAATATTTTATTCATAATTATATATAAATAAATAATATCTTCCAATCAATTGCTAATAATCAAACCACTCAATAAACATTCCCCATATATTTCAATCATCATCACCAATATATTCCCCAAAATTGGTGCTTCTCCTATATATTCCCATTAATTTCTACCTATTTCAGCCAAATTCTAAATAATTAATCGAATCATATTCATGTATTTTTGTGATTTTGAATAATATAATTTACATAATTTTAAAATCAAATCATAATTACATTATTAAAATTATAAATTCGATTTATAAAAAAAAATAAATAAATAATAAAACTAAATATAATATATTATATTGTTTCCAATATAAATTACACTATCATTAAATATTTTATTCGCAACCATCCTATTTTCGATAATTAATATATTCAACAAACATTTCTCCCATAACATACCACAAACACTTATTACTAAATTATTTTATTCATAAAATCAATAATTTTCCAACAAATAGCTAAAAAATAATATTCAATAAAATATTCCATCCATTTTTAATTCTCATTTCTTCCTTTTTCCTTCATTCTTATTTTTCTTTTTCATTCATGTTATATCGTTCCTTTTCCCTTTCTTTATAAAATTCCCATCACAAAATTATATCCGTACCTATCACTAAGCTTCTAAAAACATTATATCTATCATAAAATCCATTTCTAACAAAAATACTATACCTACCACAAAATCATATAAACAATAAACAAAACTAATAAACAATATCAAAACAAAAATATATAATCCATAAATTAATCCTAACCAAAATAACCTACCAATCCCATATAAATACACCAAATCCTTAATTTTAAATAATAAAAAATAAAATAACATATGTCCTCAATAACATCTAAATAAAACAAATATATCCATACAATTTATTTCAAACTATCCTTATATTATATATCAATAAATAACAATATAATCATAATTCTTATTAATTTTCCCCATTAATTCACCATTTCCAACATAAATTCATGTCTCACAAAACGTATAACAATAAAAACCCAATACCATACACATATATATTTTAATAATATAACAATTTTAAAAGGATACAATCAATCAATTTACCCAATACACAAATCAAAAGACAAATATGTATATATTTGTATAAGCGGATAAGGTCTTTCAATCCAACATCAACGATCATTAGAGAAAACCGTGTCGCTTCAAATCACATGCTGGCAGTCGCTGCGAGCGTGAAAGCAACTTACAACTTGAGAGCAAAATCAAGGCACAGATTCAAGTCCAACTGATAAACAACTTTAACAAACAACAAATAAACACGGCACACACGACACAAGGGACAGCTTTTTCCAGATCCAGGCTTTCGTAGTCCGACTGTACATGCACGGTCTGGAAACCGCCCAAATCGCGGACCTCCAGGCAGTTGGCTGCCGAGGCCCTCGGGCTAAGTGAAATCTTAATTGCTCAAGCCTAAACCGAGTGAAATCTCTACCTGTACGAACCTGAGTACGTCATTGAACTACGAGTAAGGCAAACACAAAACAAAGACAACATGCCAACATCCCATGGTCGACTGGTTCCAACAGCAGAACCGCAATTCCGCTGTTCATGCCAGCGACCGCTGGTCAGTCGCGTCCTTACGAGGACTTCCTGGCCATGAGCTGCGCCTGAGATGGGCGGCCCATGGCTCTTCAAATGATGCCATTGTTCTCACCCTTTTTTTGAGCCCCCCCTTACAAAGAGAAAAATACTGGGGTCAATTGGGCTCGTTCTTTTGGTCTTGTGGAACCAATACTCAAATGTGGATACTAATCTCCAGAGGGAACACCTGCAAAATTGTTTGCATGCCAATGGACCTTGTGTCCACCAAGGGGTGCTCAGACTCAAAACTCTGATGGTCGGCCGTGGTCGTGGTCCTTCTCATTTCTTCATTTTAGTAGCCATGTCATTGCTTCATCTGGTTGTGCAAGCCTTGACCGCGGTCATGCTGTTGTGCTCCAAAGACATTTGGTTGAACCCATTGGAGCCGGGAAAAAATATCCCCAAGAGGCATGGGAAATTGGGTAAGCTTTCTGGAGTTGATTTCAGTGGCTGCGGCCAAAACCTTGCCAATAAAAAGGAAGCCAAGGCGCCATCTTGATGGCCTCCTGGATCTGCTTGTTGCTGGGTTCCAGCTTTTCCGCCTACTATGCACGTTGGGCTGCACAAATTGGGCCTGTTTCAAAATAGGACCGCGCCAAACTCAAGGAATTCCTTTTCGTTTTCCTTTAAACCCACCCCAAAGAGGGAACACTCAGAAACACACACCCGCCTAAATCAGGCCGTTCGTTCGGCCCGATTTCTGACCCCGTTCCTGTTGCCTCCCTATGGTGATGCTTCTCCGCCGTCTCTCTGAACGTTTCATTAGATAGCCCTGTGGGTGTCCGAAAATGGGAATCTCCAACCGCAATTGGTTTCCATCTTGATTCCTCTAAACACCATCCAAGAGGGAGTCCAATTCTGGGACAAGCTGACAAGCCCATGTCTTGTATCACATCAACAAGGATCTCCAAACCACTAATTGAATGTTCATTCAAAAGCGTGTTCTCAGGGCAAGGTCTGCAAACAACAAGAAGCCATGTGCTATGTCGACCCTGCGTCAAATAGAACCTGGATCACTGAGGGGGTACAACTGCTCCCCCAAAAAGATCCCTTCTCAAGTGGGCTGTCCATCTATGAATCGACCAGTGGCTCATTCCTCCTGATTTCGGGCGACAAAGGCTTGGGAACCCAGCGGCTTCCCTCCGATCACTCGGGGCTGCATTGCCTCCAGCAGGGCCGCAATGGCCTCACCGTAGCTCTTCATGGCGTGGTAGCCTCGGCACCCGAAACGTCCTCCCCACCTTTAGGACGAAGCAGCCTTTCTCTGACACCAAAGTCGTGCCTCAGGAAGGAAGAGGAGGGGACCTGTTGCTCGAGCCTGTGGGAAAATGGACTGCCATTCAATGAATCATGAATGGAATTCCAGGGGTTACCCCCTCCCCAAATCGTGGAGGGTGCTACACCTTTGGGAAGTTCCTTCTGCAGCCCGGGCCAGCTTTCACCAGGATAAGTTGCCATCGCCTCATTTTGCCATTGTTCAAGTTGTTTGAGTGGGAGGTTCACTGTATAGCGAAACCGAGCCAACCCCCCCTCCACACGCCACCTATTCATCAACGGGGGTTGGTGGAGCTGGGCCGGGCCAACAGGACCTTCGAATTGCCCTATGCGCCCTGTGCGCCCTGTGCGGATTCCAAGCGCGCGGCTCATGCCCTGCCGGAACCAGCCCTTGGGATTGCTGGGCTCCACCTGCAATGGGGTTGCATCTCATATGCACCGCTCACTATCATTCCAAAGCCTGCAACAGAACATGAAAAGGACCTTCATTCATGGCGAGCTCGTTTCACACCTAGATGAGCTCGCCATAAAAACAGGAATATCGAGTTGAAACGCCTGCCTGGAGACTTCGTGATCCTCTTGCGGGCCGTCTGTTGTCTAACAATGCCCGCCCCAAGTTGTCCCCTGCTCCGCCCTACCATCATGCAAATCCGGCTCAGCATTGCCAAAATCCTGAGCCGTTTTGTTCCCTCTCCCACTCCAAGATTCCAAGTTTGAGCCACTAACGTTACCTTTCTGTGAGGGCATCCTGCGCAGCCTGCCTCCGTGCACTTCTTGGCATCGGCGAGAGCCTGGACATACCATGACTGTTGCACAAGGCAGCTCGCAGAATGCAAAGGCCTGTTTTGACTACCTACAACAACAATTTACAACCAAACTTCAGGAATTCCGAATTCAAGTAGGGAGCTTCATCATGTGGGATCTCATTGTAACCCCTGGCAAACTTCAGAAGTATGACAGCGAGGCCTTCCACTAATCGGCCGAGTGCACTTGGTGCCCAACACACATATCCAAGCCTTGTCGTGATCGCCCAGCTTCAACCAGCACTGTGCTCGGTTGGCCCAAACGCTGCCCGTGTCCGGCGCCTCGATTGTGCGGAGCAACAAAGGCAGGAGCAAAACAGTAACTCTCGAAGGCGTCAAACCTGTCACGGTTTTGCTACGGTCCGCTGTTACCGAGGCAAGCAAGGCGATTCCTTCGAGGCAAAATCAATCTCCCACACCAAAGTCACACCATGCATGCCATTTGCTGAAGACTGGAAAGTTGAACATCTTCAAACACAGCGTGCCCGGAGCCTGCAGAGTTTTGATATGCTGCAACATGTGTGTTGCTGGCGGGAACAGGAATTCATAGAATACTTGTTAGGACATGCTTGGATGTCAATTCAATATTTTAAACATGGATACAATACGCATGTTCTTCAAGTATTTGCTTTAAAACTGCCACATGCCCTTCATTTGGGTCACTCCATCCTTCTAGGCTCGCTGGATAAAGAACATACCCTCACATATCTCAAGCAAACACATTTCCTCTTGAACCCCCCCACAAGGAGCCCGCTCAATCTCAGCCCAGGAGTCGATGATCGATGCCCCTTTCGGGCACAAACAGGCGATCCACGCTCCTAAACTGGGTCTACCCAAAACCCATGGTGGCGAACCAATAGGGCCGCTTGCTGCACCCATTCTGGTTGGAAACTGTCCCTGACCCTCCCAAAATCCCAACCGCGGAACAGTCATTACATAAGCCCGGCGGATTCACAATTGGAGGGGGTGTTTCCCTCCAAAAGTGTAAGATTGCTCGCAAGAATGGGAACCCCCTAAAACACATCAGTTGGGGGATTCACCAGGGGCCTCCCGACCCCGGGCCCCGCCAGCTCCAGCGCTAGGCTGTAGAGCGCCGCCGCCTGCGCAAAGTCGCTGGCGCGGAACCTCGGGCGCGGGGAAGCGACGGAAGCGACTGCGGGTGGGAGCTGTGGAGGACCCTTTGTGGGCATTTTTTGAGTCGGACCTTTTGGGCTGGTAGACTTGCTTAGGCACCCTTCGGGTCTTAGATCCATCTTCAACATCTTCAACCTGAAAGATCCTAAAAGGACGCCTCTATGCGGAACAGCAAAGTCGGATGTGGAGGGAGCCAAAAGGGGGGCATCTGAAAGGGTCGGTTGCCCTTGCTGAGTCGCACTCAGAGGGTTGACCTTTGGTTGCCACCGAGACGGTTTGGGCATTCTTTCCTAAGGGGTACAACGGTGCAAACGTGTAATTCTTAAAGTTGAAGTGGTCTTTCATTCTTCATGGGGTGCAACAAGTCCGAATCTGTGCTGAAAATTAGGATCCTCAAGTGGGGAAACCCGCAAAGGTGATGTCCCTGTGTTTTTGTTCTGCAAACGCTGCTCTAAAAACCGGGACACGTTGACAGAATATGTTCTCTGGCAAAGGGAAACGAAAGGGCATCAAACCAACTTTATACTACAAGTGCCGACGTAAATTCTTAGAATGGGCTGTGGGGTACTGTTGGTCATGGCAGAACCATGTGTGCAATTAGTTAGCCCCTCATAAGTCCTCAATCCTGGGCTAGTGCACCGACAATCACAAATCATCCGATTCTGCTTTAGTTTTCCGCAAAAAACCGAAAATGACAAAACTTCAGACTCTGCTTTACCTATGCTTACCCAAAAACTCATCAGGAGGAGACCCCATGGTTTTACCCCAGCTTTGGGCGCCCTCGCATCTCGTTGCCCGCGAGGCGGTGCTTCTCCGCAGCTTGAAGCCGCTCCTCTGCCGCCGGCATGGCCTGCCAGTTGGAGCAGGGCGTTGGATTTTCCTGATCGTGAAATATGTCCAAAAAGCGTATGGAATAGCCGTGATTGGGATCTTTTCGCAGGTCTGGGGGTGTTTGAGGGGGAGGGGTTAGGGGGACTGTAGGGTTATACAACCACCGCAGCAGCTGCGGCTTGCTGCTTTTTGGCAGAACATCCTAACCCGGGAGGAGATTCTGATAGAAGTCTTCTTGGAACCATTCTGCTGGCCAGCACAAATTGAGAGAAACCAGTCTTCACCCCCCCCGCCCGCCTTCCCCTGGCAAGGATGTCAAGAACTTGAAATTGATTGGTCCTAATTGAAGAATTGTCCGAATGAACCAGCGGCACAATTGTTGTTTGTCTACCTGTGCTGTTGGCTTAAACAGAACAGGAGTCACCCCCCTCCCCCTTTTCACTTTTTAAGGGGTGGATCTGACAAATGGACATACATGTATACTGTATACATATATATATATATATATAACTATGATTGGTGCTGTCATCATCACCATCATATAGTAGAGTAGAGTATAGCATAGCATAGTACAGTGTCAAATAATATAAGCACATCTACTATAATATATAGGGATTGATTGTGCCTCCCGCCTCGGGCTCCGGCTGTTCCCGCTGCGCCCTCCGGACATCCTCGGTGCCGCGTGCGGCATCGAAGCTGTAGCGCATATTTCTCCAATTTGGAATACATTGGAAGCGCCATGTGTTGAGAAACGGCTCTTCGGAGTTTCACACTCCGCTCGCATGGCTCCGTGGCCAAAGCCGTTGAAGTCCACTGCGCAGCGGCGGTGGAAAGAAGCGCCACTGCCCTTTCATTTGGCTCCTTGTTAGTGGGTACCACATATGAATAAGAATTACGCCATCTAAATATGCAACGGCAGACTGCAACATAAACCGGGCTGTTCAAAATCGTGTTGGCCAATCCTAACAATCCCTGTTGGAGAACCACTACCAAGGGACCACGTTTGTCACCCAAGCAAGGATGAAGGATTGCCTTTGAGTGCACATAAAGAGTAGGAACGGGATATGCTAAACTCATATCCTGTCTACAACTATGCCCCCCTTGCAATTTGCAAAGATGTCGGCGTGAAACAAGCGCCACTTCTGAGCAATTTCCGCCAAAGCCCTTGGACCTTCTCCTGCACTCGTGTCAGTTGAGGTCTTCTACCAATGAAGCTTTAAGCAAGCCACTATCATGTGCCATCAAGACAAGCCAAGACTAAGGTTGTGACCAGCGGGAACTCGCCTTCACCTCTCCTGCCGACAGCACATCGTCGAGTCCCAAACAGCAGGGGGTTCTCAAAATGGTGGACCGCCATGCGAGTTTGCAGGAAGATTCACTCGCGAGCGAGGCTGAAGAGACTCGCAGGCTGTTAGCCGATCCGAGTTGTCCAGTCAAAAAGCAGGCGGAGATCACTGGGCCTTGGCATCTGGGCGCCTCTCCTTTAGGTTTCCAGAAGGGGCTCGCTTGGCTAAAGGCCGCTTCCCGACCTCGGACCTCTTTGCACCACAACAAGTGGCCGGCAAATGACTGTCGGGATACGTGCCTGACAGGCTCGGTCGTCAAGGACTTGTCTGAAATGCCTGGGCCGCGCCGCTCAGCACGCTGTATTTCGCCGCGTTTTCTTTTCAGTGTTCCTGCTTGACATTCGCAAACAGTTCACTTGCTTGACGTGCGCTGTTGACATCTTTGCATAAGGAGCACTCATGGTGGTCTTTTCACGGTTTGCTGGGGATAAGCTCGAAAACTCAAAGAAAGAGGGCAGCCTGGAGAAGGGAGAGGGCACCGCCCGCTCAAATCCAAGCCCCAAGCCATCCGTGAGTCGACCCTTCAAGGCCCAGGCAGGTCAGGAGCTGAAAGGCGCCCTCCATGCCCACCTCCAGAGGCAAAAATCCGCCCGCCGTCAAGTCGGAAGGAACACATCCCTCAATTCTGAGAAGCCTAGAGCCACCCTGAACGCCTGAAAGATTTTAAAGCCCTAATTAATTCTCCAAAACGTCCATTGGAGAAAATCCTATGACAGCTCAGGTTGAAGCTGAGCCGAAAGGAAGCGTTCTTGAGGCACTTTTGGCCTTTCCAGGACAAGCAAAGCCTTGCTAAGACAGTTCAATGATATTCCTCCGAACTTCGCAGTTTGCTCTTGTTGAATTCTTTGGGGTGAACCATATTTAAGAATAGGATAAGACTTCTGAATAGGCTGAGGGCATTCACTTGACTTTAACACCAGCACGGCCTGGATGAGTTGCTTCCAGCTGCCTTTACGATACGGGTACCAAACCGGACCGGGTGCATGTTGGACCCCATGCTGAATCCAGGTGTCTCTTTTGGATTTCGACAGTTGTTTGTCATTGCCTCAAAAAATATGGCGCCATTTTGAAGCGGGTTTTGAAAGAACAGCAAGAGGCAAGCAGGCATTTTACGGGACCGCCACTTTCTTGAGAAACACACATGACATGTTGGATTGAAAGGTTGGTAAACCTAGCATCTCGTGTTAGCAAAAAAGATCCAGCGGTATGTGACTCAAACTTCCACACCGTTGCCCCATTTGGAGGCTTCCCCAAAAAAGAATCTTAAGGAATCTCCTTTTGGGAACTGGACCCCTTGGGCTTCTTCCGCGAACTTCCGGAGTGAACCTGCACCCGGACCGGCTGTTTGGCTTGCTGGGCTTCGCGCCGTCTGTGGCTCGCCGCCCCCCATGCCCCAGGCGAGGGCAAAGCCTGGCCTGAATCCCAGAGCCCGGGAGGACGCTGTGAGCTCAAAAGGGGAAACCAACCTGAAACCACCTAGCCTGGCTTCACACCCATTCTATTCCTGAAAACCTATGTGTATAATCATGCCCCCAATAAGTGTTCCAACAGGGGCTGTGATCAAAGCGGTGTTGAAAGGCTCTTGGCCGTCAAGGTCAATATTAGAGCTGGCTTCGCCTCCCGGGATCCCAAGACTCGCATTTGAGGCGGCGCGCAATGCGTGTCTCTGACCCAAACAAAATACCCAAAAAGGAGAGAGCAGGCCCAACGGGACTCCGGGGCCCCTGCGAGTTCTGATGGTAGACTTTGCCTCGCCGATGTAGCGACAGCAACAAGACTCAGCCCATGAATTCACGGGCCTTGGTCAAGAGCAACCAAAAATCCGATGGACACCTTTCAGCCTCTGGGTGAATCAATGGGCAAGACGGCTTGCCGAAGCTCGTTGTTCCAAAGACTTGTTTTTTTAGGCTCTGCAAATCTATGAACACATGTGTACAAAAAGGGGGTTCTCCGCCCAAATGGTGGTTTACTTATCCCGTTCATGCGTGCAGAAGGGCATCCTGCCCGTGGGCAAGCTGGGAATCCCGGCCCAGGTGGTCCCGCTCAGCGAAGCGCGCCACGCACTCCCGGCACTCGTCCACTTGCAGCGTGCCCAGTGGGTGGTCCTCAGCCCGGACCACCAAAACGGGTGTCAAGCTCCAAGAAGAAATTCGCCACCCACAGCCAACACGTGACTTGGCCCCATCTCCTGGAACCTTTCTCTTGGATCGCCCTGGTAACCAGGTTTCCTCAAAGGAAGAGGCACCGGACATGCCTGGCATTCTTGGATGGACGTGCCTGCCGACATTTGCAAGGACAACTCATTGGTTCGTCTCACGTGGCCATACCCTCTGCTTGTACAAGCTGACACTCACGCCAGCGTTTTAGATTCAGGCCATGCACTGAGTGAGAGCATACAGTCACAAGGTGCAAGTGCAAAACAAACAGCTTCAAGGCAAAATGGCGTGGTGAGTGCTGTACTTTTGGGCGTTCTGAGCTGCCTCGTTGTCAAATCCGATGAACCACGCTGAGCACATTGTGGCTCTGTTCACTGCTTCTTGCCCCAAATCCACGTTCAACAGAAGCATGGCCGCTTTGGAACCAAAGGACTCCCCCTTTTCTTTCCAGGCAGTACTGAGGTTTGACAAACAAACTCCAGGCCTTGCGCTATAGCAAACCAGGCTCGCAACAATGTAGCAGGGCATCAATACGCCACGGTCAAGCACTTGAGAACAATTTGGGCTGACCACCTACGTCAACAATATTGGAGGACAATCAAGATAAGAGCACCAACTTGAGCAAGTAAAAACAAAAAGCAACAATCATGCAATAAGCAAAACGTTTAAACATAACCAAGCAGGTTCTTCCAGAAAGTGTTCTTGGTACAAGCGCGGTTTCTGCCATATTTTATTGCTGCCTTGGTATGCTCCGGCTAATTTGGCTTGAGCCCCCTGTGAAGGGAACAAAGACATTTGCCGAAACAAAAAACAACAGATGTGCAACCCCACAGGACCCGTCGCTTTGAAAAACCTAATCGGTAATTCAGAGGAGGAGGGAGGAGGACGAGGAGGAGGAGAAAACTCTCTTGCAGAGCTAGTCATGCCACTCGGCCCTCCTTCGAGCTTCCCTTCTCAGCCCCGCGCCAAACGCACCTCCACCCGCTCGCACTTGTACAGCTCTACCTGAGATCAGCCCACAAAGCCGGATCTTATGAGCCTGTAAAAACTCTTGCTAGTGGCTGGGTCCTGCATGAGTCAACATTATAAGGGACTCTTTCTAATTGCTGGGACCCTTTAGGGAGATGGTCTTCCAAGAGCAATTCCCGCCAACTGCCACGGAAGGATGTGTATCACTCGCTTTTTCAGGGCTTATCTTATCTGAAAACTCAGCGGGATTCTTGAAATCAAAGGATCGACGTGACGTTCCAAAAGGCCGAAGTGATCCGAAGTGTATCCTGCAACTGCCATGAGGTCGGGAAAACACACACTGCGTGCTTTTTGAGGCTACCCCTCTTAGGATTGGTTTCAAGGGAGACGAAGCAGGAAACCACCCTTTTGGAGTCCCCTTCGACAACTATCCATCTACTTGCCTTCCTCAAATGAATGGAAACGTATCCTAACGTATCTGAGGACTTCTGCATGGGCTGCCCCGCGGTGGAGGTGAGCAGCGGAGCCTGGATGTGTACTTGCACGTCACCTCGCAATGTCTCACACCGACGGTCGCCCGTTTTTCAGGGCGAAAAGGAGAACCGCCTTTCATCAGGGTCCCCATTTTTGACACATGCCCGGCTGGGGATGGCGCATGGCAAGTCTGATTCAACAAAAAAAGACACGGCACAAATCTGCAGTTGCAGGTGTCCGGATATGCGCCTCTCGCCCGGAATGTGCTAGGAGCCCAACACGTGTCACTCAAAGGCCTCCCCATCTACCAAATCAAATCATGGCTCAAACACTACCAACTCTCCGAACCAGGCCACACCAGTAACAATGTCACTGGTGCGGCCGACCATAGCACTGGCACGGGGCATTGGGGAGGAAGCCAAAGGTTAGGTTCGGTAACCGTGTTCGAGGCGGACAGGCAAATGTCTCGAGAGTCTCCGGGGCGCAGGCTGCAGGAGTCCAGCATCAGCTTCAACACCTCAGGCACATGGCCTTCCGCAGTCGGACACCAATAGAACAAGGGAAGCCACTACCCAAAGCACGGTAAATGCGTCTCAACAATGGCGATTCTCAACATGGCCGACATGTAACCTTTTTAGGCAGCCCTGATTTAGCACAAGACTAAGGATTGATGTTACAACCCAGGTGGATGCATTAAATCAAAGCAGCAAACAGCTAAAAGCACCAGTGAGAACCAGCCCAAGCCGCAAGAACCGGCCCCTGCCAAGGAGATACAGCTGGCTGAGTTACCACAAAATACCACGAAGCACACCGCGCGATTCACAACTCAACTCAGGCGCCAGGCGCCGGATTCGGGCACTACGTAGCTAGCTCCTGTCAGGCAACCAAACTCTTGGCGCTGTCAAGGTGAACATTGTCCGTGTCTGGCAGCGCAAACGGAGGTTCAGGGAACTAAACTGACGTGTCTGAAAAAGAGGGGCATTCCACAAAGGTTGAGACTCTTTGGGTTTCCTTTAAAAACAACCCTCCAAAGGGTTCAATGTTGAAGAAGACTTCCCCCCCGCCTTTGGAGCCCTTGATGCGCATTGCCTGCAGAGTGCGGAGTGCGAAACCCGCTGCCGATCCACGGGCGCCCAGTGGATTTCCATGGGGAAAAAAGGGCACTTACGTCAAAGGGAGACGATTTAAAGGACGTTTTTGGTAGCTGATTTGAAAGGGACGCCTCTTCAAAAGAAAGCTGAGACAAGAAAACAACCCAGGGGTCTGGGTGCTCCCCATTTTTCTTCTCACGGGTATCCAAGAACACTCTCAAACCCCCCTGAACCCAAGCGCGGGAAGATAGAAGTTCAACTTGTCCTTACCTCTAGTTTCACGTTCCCCGAAAGTTGAAAAGCTGGGTCTTGGCTCACACAGACCCAGATTAGGGAGAAAACCCTTCTGCTGGAAAGCTACAATGGCTTCTTGGATTCGTTCTGAGAACCTTTCTGGTGGGTAGGGGCCTTACTGTTTCTCCCGGCTGGTTGACGCTTCTGGCCGGAGCCGGGCCTTGCCCTTGCCGGTGAGCTCCACAGGAGCCTGGCGCCACTCTCCCGGCACATGGAAACCAAAGGCGGTTGGTCTCTGCATTGGGGCGAGGACCCAGACTCCTGGAGGTCACAGGGCATGGTCGCTTGATGGCAATCCTTGCAAAAGTCTGAAGATGTCAAAAGCCCCCCCTTTGCCCCTTGAACCCAAGGTAGTCGTCAAGTCACTTGACGCGAGCGCAAAGGAAATTGTGCGAGGGAGGGAGCTCTTGTCTGACCGAGTTGTGCTGACCAACGACAGCCCTGGCGATCTGCCAAAACTCCGGAGTACATTGAGCAAGCAGTACATCTTCTGAAGGATCCAATGAGGACATGCCAGACCTGGGATGCTTTTCGGGAAGGTGAAGAAGATAACCAGCATGATTTGCCAACCTTTCTGCAGTCAGACAAAGCTAAATCATCCAAGGAAGGCACACCGAGGCCCACAAGCCAAAGCCCCCCAATCATGATTGCCTTGCTTGGGGGTGCCTCAAGTTAGGGGACACCTAAATCCCTTGCTTCCCTTTTGGTTTCCTTTGGTTTCCCTTTCAACCCAATCAACAAGGGAACCACTTTGGCCGGCACACAGGTAAACTCAACCTGAATTTTGGGACGGCTGGTGGCCCTTCATACAAAGTTCTCCCAGACCCCACAGCTGGATCAGCAATCTGGCAGTTTACTGCTTGTTAGAGGGTCGTACAGGCTTACGTGGCAACATAAGTGGTGCCCTTTGGCTTTCTCTTTAAAATCGCGCCCCAAAAAAGGGGTAACACGTCTCAAACATGCTCAAATCCATATCAACGGATTCAAGTCCTTTGATCCAGGCCCCTCCACAGAAAACGAGGCCTCAGGCTGGCTGTGGGTGAGCTCCAGCTCACGCTCCTGACTCCAGGCCTGAAACACATTCTTCGCGCATCCGATTGGCCCAAAATCCCAACTTTGTATTTACGTAAATTTGCCATCCCAATCAGTCCAGAAACTGGGGAAGTGAGTAGGGTTGGGCCAACTGCTTGTTTGAACATGTTTTGACACCCATTGCTTTAAGATATTTGCTGGGGAATTACCCAGCAAAACGGTACCAGGCTCTACCTAGTTGCATCAACTTTGCCTAACTCCACAACTTACAAGCACCACCCTGTACTCTCCCACCTTCTTCACTGTTCGCTTGTGGGAAGTTTCCTTGATGAATCAACAAATCTTTGCATATTTCTCAATTCCTCCACTTGCCAGGGCACCTGGCAGGTCCCTGCAAGAGAAGTTCGATCCATGTAACCACCTGCAGGTGCCTTGATGGGAGCTGGCCCCCAGCTTTGCTGGCTCTACTGGAAAGTTTGACATTGTGATACAGTGATACAAAGGAAAACACACCAGAACCTGCCCCCCCCCCCCTGTTAGTTGGCAATTTGGATTGGTGGTTTGGGGATAGGAACCTGTGGCTTTTGTAGAGGGTAAATGGGAAACCCCTCCTTAACCACGAACAACACAAACGAACAATTGAAAGGACGCGGAATGCTGTGATGGCTTGGTCCCATTTTGAGCGCACGGCGATGAAGTCATTCCGCTGCTTGGAGTGGTCCCCAAGCTCCTCCAGCTCCTTGGCCGCCTGGATAAGGTTAGCGGGAAGTTGGCCGCCTGAGCCATCCCCACTTGGCTGAGCCAGTTAAACATGTTTAAACCAAGCGCTTGTTGTTTACATAAAGTCCTTTCGGTTTCCCTTTCAACGGGAAGGGTCTGGTTGCTTAAACACATTTTGCCCAACCCTGCCCTTTGCAGAACAACTGGAGACTTTAATTGCTACCCTCGCTCAAATATCCCCAAGGCGGCCCCTTTACGGGATGCAAGGGAGCAAAGGAAAACGGCTAGCCCTGGATATCGCAAGTAGGCAACAGTGTTGGCAAGTTATCAAGTTCGCGTGCTTGTTGAGGGAGGTCGCACTTCGCACTTCGGCCACTGCACAAGCCATTGCCAGGACACATCTGCAAACCCAAACCCTGGGCTCCACATGCCCCCCCCCCCCCCTCGCCCAGCGCGCAACGTGCACTCGGCCTTGGCGGTGGGGGGTCCTTCCGGCAGTCCGCCGAGGCCAAGAGCCTGGCATAAAAACGGCGCGGCCCGTGCTGGGGTCCCGGCTGCAGCGAATGGGGGGGTCTATACCTCATTACGGAAACATATTCTAGACATTATAGACGAAGTCCAAAGCCTGAAAAAAAGAACCAAATTCCCCAAGTAACGGACTTGCATCATGGTACTGTTCTGTTAAAAGCTCACGAATATAAGCAGTCTAAATGAGGGACCCCGCAAGATTTTAGGGGACATGGCCGTCCATCTCTTGATCTGTGATCCATTCCTGAAACCGGTTTTCCAAAAGCCTTGGTTCCCTTGTTTCTCGGGGTAGCTTCCCCATTTCTGGGGACTCACCCCAGAAAACCACCAAACGCTCCGGGAACAGATGGTCTTGGCGAAGAGCCGGGATTGAACTACATGGATCAACCTGTAGAACTGTAGAAGGTGGTGTCCCTTTCAATTCTCCCCTGGAACCACCCCCAAAAAAAGGAACCTGCATACTTTGACACACTCAAGTAGGAGGCTGTCCTAAAATGCGGGTATCCGCTTTTTGGGGAACCATTTGGAGAGTTGTTTTGACGCATTGCCTAAATGCTGGTCTTGCGTCGGGGGACGCTTTTCAAAAGGAATTTAAGGAAGGAAACCCGTGTGATAGGAATTCCAGTTTTGTTGCGATCTGACATAGATTGAGAACCAGCTGCCTCTCCATCTGAAAGTTTGATGGGGGCTTGACAAATTGATGACCCCGTTCAAAGGTGGCACAAAGGACACCAGGGTTGTTGCCAACTTTGTTCAGAGTTGTTGGCTGGTTGTTTGTTTGCCTTATCAATTCCAACATCACGAAGCATATTGACCTTGTTTTGGCCTCAGTTGCAAAAGCTGTTCAATATTCAATTGGGCGTGACTCCAGCAACTGCTTCTGGATACATCACTCGCAAAAGTAGTTCTCCAACATCTGAAGCTCAGAATCCGAACTGCCCCTGCTCCGTCAATTTCTTGCACTTGAGAAGATGCTGATGCTTTTCTTGATAGCCCCATGCTTCGTGGCGAATCCGCCCACATGGCAGCGGCTCCTCGTTGCTCTCCGCGGTTGCCTTTTGCTCCTCCGCACAAATCCGTTAGTTTTGGGTGTGAATTTGAAAGGGAATCGTGGACATCATTTAGGCGGGGACCTGTCTCCACCAACCACTTTTGAAGGGATTCCCAGACTCCCTATTGAATTCCGTATGAACCACAGCCTTAAATTTGCCCTGGCTTGCTATGTTGCGGGAAACTTGGCGAGTTGCCTGACTTGTATTGTAAATGTAGTCAGTCCCTCCATGCCCCTTCCAATTGTATCTTAAGTATTTTTGATATTGGTATGAGCAACTACCAAAACCGACGAAGACGATGGATACGTCAGTTCTGGTGTTTGGTGTTGGCTGGTTCTTTAATAACCATCTTCAATCAGCCACAAACTGACAAACACCAAGAAGCAACCAAGACTTGGTTGGTCAAGGCAAACACACATGGCACCATGATGTCCACACTTCAAATAGTTTTCGCTTTGTTGGGGTCGGGCACCAAGCCACTTTGCCGCTCACCGGCGGCTCGCCTCCTCCTCGGCTTCCCGGCAGAGAGCCTCCGCCTGGCGCGTAGACTGGAGCGTTGAAACGCCGAAGGCGCTGAGAAACGTCCCCCGGAAACACTGCTGGCGGCCCACCTGCTTTGTGCTTGGATTAAAAGCAACGACAACAAATCAAGCACTCAGTGCAGGTCTTCTACACCCGCGGGAATCTCTACCTCACACCGAACGCCCAATTTGTTTCCGTTTTGACAGGTTGATTTGGGTGCTTTCCGAAAAAGGAACCCCGTAGCCTTTCCCTGTCTGGCTTTTGGGCTCCCTTTAACCAACCAAAAGGGTGGCCCCCAGTTTTTGGCACACCACTTGGAAAGAACGCTAACCGTTGCCCCAGACAACAAATCGCAATGTTCCCGTGCGTCCAAGCACGGGGGTCGGGTGGACTGGACTCAGCCCCCACGGTCTCAAAGTGGGGGCCGTACCCCGCCTTCCTGGACAGGTCAAGTTGCCCCCAGCAACACCCCGCCGAAACGAAACGAAATATCGGCAAAATGTCCATGTTCTAGGCCATCATCTAAGGGAATTGAAGGAACCCTGAACAAACAAATCAAGCGAGCCCCACATGTGCACCGACGTGGATTCAAAAGTATAGTTTTTCCTGTCGGCGCTTCCGGGTCCGCGGACACTTCTTGGCGGCATGAGGGTCCCAAACTCCGGCACGCTGCCAGTCGTAAACGATGGGGTTTCACCCGCAAGCGCTCATGCCAGTCTAGAAGCTTACAGGTCAACTGGCAGAGAATGCCCTAAGCAGCTACATGCGGATTGTTGGATTGTTCAGTGGGTGCTTCCAAGGGCAATAGTTCGTCATGACCAAAAAAGCAACAGGAAGGTGGCCAAAAGCATGTAGGCAACCACCGAGAGAGGGAAGCTTTGCTCATGCTCCCAAAATTGCCTACACAGGGCCACCTTAGCTGAGGGAGAAACTGGTCACTTGCGGAGACACCATGCCCCGCCTTGCGATCCCACGCATTGTAGTTCGTCATGGCAAGATGAAGTCTAGAAAAGTGTGGCGTTCCTGTGCTTTGCCGACGGTTCGTGCGTTCCTGGCTCCACACCGCTCCTGCAAGCCCAAAAAAATCCTGCAGCAAAGACGACATATCCAAAAGCCCCGAGACCACGCCGTCCCCGGAAAGCAATCGCGAGGACCACGCCGTCCCCCTCGAGTACATAAATGAGAAACCCCTCCCGCGAACCTTGCGCGGCGCTTCCGCGACCTGGGAAAAGTCAACATTTTGAAAACGCTATTTCCTCCCGAATACAAGTTTCAAAGGCAGGGGTTTTAGAACGTCGCTCAGGTGGTTGCTGTCCTGTCGCAGTCGGTGCTCTTCGCAACCAGCAAACGGCCCTTCAGACTTCTGCTGAAGGCACCTTCTCCTCCTTGAAAATTGCACCCAGCACAGCTTTGGGAAAAGATGGCACTGGTCAATGGTTGAAGCACGACAATGAAACCAGTGCCATCCATTTCTAGCCAACTTGACTTAAAAAAGACACCAATGGTTTCCACCGCGAGCTGCTCATCAAGGCTTTCTGCACGGCCGACCTGCTTAAAGCTCACAGCGCGAATGGAAAGCACCCTGCCAATGGCTTGGGAACGCGTGATAATTTTAGCTTCATGTTTGCAGTTGCTTGGGGCCCTCCGTCAGATTCCATATCGGTCGGTGGTCGTCGTGTGTCTGGTGTTTGCCCATTCGATCTGTCACACATTCTGATTCCAAAGTCTTCGTGCCGGCCCCCTGCATGGCTCCCCGGCCTATCGGGCAACAAGGGGCCGGCGACGCTTGACCGCAAGTCGCACTCCTATCGCGCAAGACCAACCACAGGATTCATCAAACACATCACCCACAACCAGTTCCTGACTTGGAGTTTCATTCTCGTGCTGCCAAATGAGTGCGTGTGTGTGTGCGGGCCCTTCAAATCGCTCCCTTGACAAACAATCGATCCACATGGGCGCACGTTTGGAACCTAGACCAACATCCAGCACTCCCCATCTGTGCAGGCGGGGCATTCCTCGGGCTTAGCACAGCCCTTCACTGCAAGCCCAAAGACGGAGAATTGGAACTCCCGCTTGCAGGCGCTGCACCGTTCGCTCAGGGAGCTTTCCACCACTTTCTGGCCGCAGTCCTGGCACCAGGCTCATGCGGCGATGCCCGGTCTTCTGCAACCGAGGCCACGCTGAAAAAAGGAAAGTGCGGCAAAACCAAGACGGAGGACACGATCAAGCCCCCCCCCCACCGTCCTGGCAGTAGAAACTGCCATACTTCCACAGAGCGTGAGTGACTTCCTCCTCGCTCATCTGGACGAACGTGCAGCAGCCATGGCAGATTAGCTGGTGTTGATGCATTGGCGTTTCTGGACATTCTTCGACGTCTGACCAGCTCCCACGGGACAGAGACGTCGGAGAGCGGCCTGCCAGCTGGAGGGGGGACTTCTTTAAACCCAGGCGGCGGCAGAAAGAGTTGCACCTGTGCTGCAAGAAGAACTGATCCATGCCATCCGTCCCCAAGTTGCCCCTGCCAAAACCCTCCTTGCTGGCAGTGTGGATCTGTGGATCCGTGAGGATTGCGCCACCCACCCCTTGGATATCCGAGACCATCATGTCTCCACCGGAATGAAACCAAGAGAAGTGAGAAAGTGCCTCAGCAACTTCCGCCCGCCCTGCCACGTAGCTCCAGTTGTTGGTGTATTTCTCGTAAGAACCGGGCACAAGTCGCTCCAGGGTCGCGTGGGAGGAGTACGGCCACTTGGGCAAAGCAACCATCTGGATGTCCAAGAATTGCAGAGGAGCGTGTGGCAAAAGCTTGGAGAACTCAATCGCAAACCGCTGAGCATAGGCTTGGGTTTTGACATCTGCCAGGACACGTTCGTTGTCATCATAGTGCCCTGATTTGTCCACTTTCAGCACAACTTGGGTGTCATCACTTCTGAGCGCCGGGAAGGCATACCGCATGTTGCCCTCCCCAAAAGGCGTGGGCCTGACACGAAGTGTTTGCACCTTGCTGGCTAGTGGCCCTTGCTCAAAAGCAACACATTGCGCGCGCTTTTGTTCCACAAGCGAAATTAAGATTGAAGGTCAAAACAAAGACCATGAGAAACTAGGGCTGAATGCGTCCCAGCAAATAAATGTTAAAGGGATGCCAAAAGGAAACCAATCGTTTTAGGGGTGTTACTTTGAGAAAGACCAAATGACAGCCAAGGCTCCGTCGAGTTGCTGGTGGGCGACTTCTGCACTCCAAACACCGTGAGCGACGTGAGCAGCACCTTGTGCTCCGGCCACATGCCAGCCTCCGCCCAGGAAACGGATTCTTCCACCTGAGCTGCGGTCAATGAATGTCATAGGAAAGCATCCAAATGGGTGGTGTCCATTTGGCTTCCCTTTTGAGGGTACTAAGGGTACCCTCAAAAAAGAGCATGCGGTTCAAAAAGGGTATCCCCCTCGGCCGCCATGTCCCTCCCAAATGGGCTGTGGGGCTAAACAATTCGCCTCGGCCCCAAAGGGGCCAAGGGTGCTCAGATCTCTTCTCCAAAAAGAATCTTCGCTTTTCCCCTCCCCAACCCCCTCCGCAACCAAAATTTTGCCGGCCCGCCCCCCCCCCCCCCCACCCATGTCGGCTGGCCCAAAATCCTGTCCGGCGGGCCTTGAAATTTTCGGGGTTCGTCGGCGTCAGCTCCATGGGTCCATTTTTGTCGAAAATGTGCTGCATCACTTCCTGCTGGCCCGGCCAGGCCTGTCAGCCCAGCCCACCCAGCCTCAGGCCCAAGCTTGCCCAGCCCAGGCCCCGGCGCAGCCACTGGGCCGGCGCCCAGCTCCCAGCCCGTAACGTGTCTGAGACTGGCCTCAGGCCACGCAGTCTGAGACTGGTCTCAAAGTATGCCAGCCTGAGACTAGCCTCAGGCCCAGTCCCTCAGCCCGCCTGCTGGCGTGTCTTACGTGTCTGCAACTGGCAGCCCAGCCAGCAACTTGCCACCCAGCCTCAAGTGTGTATGAAACAGGCCTTGCCCATCCAGCAACCCGCCCAAGCACAGCTCAGCCCAGCCCGCCCAGCCCAAGTTCCAGGCGCAACCAGCAGCGTAGTCCGGCTGCCCGGCAGCCAGCAAACCACCCATGGCTTTGTGGCTGCGACTAGCTTCAGGCCCAGCCCAACCAGCAACCCACCTCAGCCCAGCCTGCCCAGCCCAGGCCCCGGCACATCTCAGGGTATGCCAGCCACTAGGCCGGCCCCCAGCTTTCAAGCAGGCTCAGCCCAGCGCGCCAAGGTCACGTTAACGTGTCTGAGACTGGCCTCAGGCCAACGACCAGTCTCACGTGTCTGAGACTGGTCTCAAGCCAACGACCAGTCTCACGTGTCTGTCTGAGACTGGTCTCAAGCTACTAAGCCTGTCTGACGTGCCCCAGCCCCCCAGTCCAGCTGCCCAAGCAGCTCAGCCCGGCTGGCCAGGTGCTCCAGCCTCAGGCAAGTGTGTATGAGACAGGCTGCCCATCCAGCGACCCGCCCAAGCACAGCTCAGCCCAGCCCGCCCAGCCGAAGTTCCAGGCGCAACCAACAGCGTAGTCCGGCTGCCCAGCAGCCAGCAACTGAGACTAGCTTCAGGCCCAGCCCAACCAGCAACCCGCCTTAGCAAACCTCACCCAGGCCCACCCTTTCAGCCTATCTAGCGCCGAGACTGGGCCTCACCAGCCTGGGCTCAACTAGTGTCTAGCCCAGCCCAGTCCGCCTGCTGGCCAGGCCTGTCTGACGTGTCTGAAACTGGCCTCAGGCCCAGCCCAGCCATAGCCCAGCCCCCTCAGTGCGGCTGCCCAGCCCGCCGTAAACTAGCTTCAGGCCCAGCTCAACCAACAACCCACGCAAGCAAGGACCAGCCAAGCTGCCCGAGACTGTCCGAGCAGGACGGCTTCCGAACATCGAACTAGCACGGGCGAACTGGTGCGGTCACAAGCTTTCAGTAGGATTCGGACCTTCCCAACACTGGATTTCGGTGTTCCTGACCCTTCCCTCAAACTAGGCTGGGCCGAGGCGGGCAACGCGAAGCGTTTACAATTAATTATACATGAGCTTGGCGACGACCCCATTCAAATTATTTCCGCCCCTATACTCCAATCCCTGCAAAGTAACAAGGAACCCACAAAGCAATCATTTCTAGCGGAAACTCCTTTTGAAGCGTCTTGAGTTTTCTTGAGGTCCATTTTCATTTTCACCGAACCTCGCCTCGAGCCGCAGTTGGCGTGGAATGTGGGTTGCTGGTGGGGTGACATTCTTTTTGCTGCCCTTCCTTGACTGCAATCTGATCTGCCAAAACGGCGACACTTTGCTGGCCAGAAGTTGGATTCCTGGACCCGTTAAATGGTTCTAACACATGAGTTCCTTGATGCTACGCTGATTGTCCTTCAATGCAGTTTGGAACCCGCTTATTAGAACTCGTTTGGGGTCCCCTGAATGGAACAAAGGAAACTCAATTAAAGTGGCAGAAAAGGGAAAAGGCGAGTTAAGTCTGGCAATGCATCAACGAAGCTGTGATACTCCGAGACGCGCTCTTCAAAACCATCGTTGCAAAGTCAGCGGAAGCATCCTTTCAGGTTGGGATGTTCTGCAACAAACAACACAGTGCACTGTACAAGGGGCCTGCAAAGGAGATTGAATGAATTTCATTCTGAAATGGCAGAAAAAAGCCCACCCGAATCCTGCCAGGTGAGAACGTCGGTGTGCAGGTTGAGCTGATGGGCGCCCAGCCGCAGCTGCTGAAAGACCTCGAACATCTTGGCGCAGTGCGCTTGGTCGAATCGCATGCCAACAAAGTGCAGCTGCAGTTTCTCCATGCGCTGAAAGACTTTCTCTGCTGCCCACTGCTTGGGGTCCTCTAGGAAATGGTCCTCGCTTCTGGACAAGCAGTGAAACCGTGAACCATGGGCCGGCGCGTCGCACAACAAGTACAGGATGCGTGTTGCGGCCTGCCACTCAAGGCGGAGTGCTTCCTCCAAGCCCCCCATCACATCTTCGCAGACATCACGCTGCGGCCCTGGGTGGGGAGTCGTCAACTTCTGCAAGAAAGCTTCAACCTTTGCAACATCCTCTGAGAGCTTCAGAACTTCACTCTGCCTGGAATACTGATAGTCTCGATATCCTATGACAGCAAAGCGCACACTGCCACCTTCGCTCAAGTACTCGCAAATGCAATTCTGGATCTCACGAATCTTGCTCTTTGCCCCGTCGATCCGGGATGCCATGGAAGCTGTGCAGTCAATTGCGAAGCAAACATCCATGGTCTTGGCCTTAGATGCTCGCTTCTGTGATGAGGCGATGGCAGTTTCCAGCTTGGCATGCACGCCAGATCGTCGGGACATCAAGGCCTGTAAATGATTCTTCTGGCGGTCCGTCTGGTTGGTCCGCAACACCAAGTCCATCAGTTCCTCGCGCGACATGGCATCTAGACCTGTTTGCAGAAGATCAACCATGGCCCGCGGCGACTTGGCGAGGAGCTCCCTTTGGCAGCTCTGAGCCTTGAAATCCTTGCCGAAACAACCCACGAGATGTTCGCAGGTGCACATTCAAGATGAGTTGCTTCTTTTGAATCCAGACGTGCTGTCTGGATCCCAAACCAGTGGACCAAAGAAACAGCTGCCAGTTTGCGCAAGCCTGATTTGCTGAACACGTTGCAAGCCACAAACCACAAACCATGCTGAACTGATGTTGACACCTGATGAATTAATTACCCCCCCCCCCCTCCCCCTCCTAACTGGGGGGTTCATTCACGAGCGGTCAACACAACAGGGCTTTCCTTGTTCCCTACTGGCCACCTCAAGCGGACCTCAAACCATGGTGTGCGCGCATGCGCCCATTTTTCCGGACGGCAGACTGGCGACTCACTTGCCCAGCCCCACGAGCCTTGGTTGCCGCGGAAGGTACCCCCCTCTGTCCCCACATCAGCGATCCTTGTCCCGTCCGAAAAATGGGAGGGGCCAACGTCTATTTCCAAGGTTCCAGAAAGGAAGCCAATCCGCCTGCCCGACTTGTGGAAGCTCTGAAAAAACTCGTTGAGTCGTGGAAGCTTACCCAAACGTCCTCCCGCAAAAGTGCTCACTTTCAGCGGCCCGCCGCCATGGGGCGAGAAGCGAGCAACACATCTGCATGGAGCTCTGTTTACGCAAAAGTATGGGAATTCAAAGGACAACTATCATCTAGAAGGAAAAGCCAAACTTATTTTAGCACAAACACACTTTGACAATTTTCACCTACCTGAAGGGATCCAGTGATGGCCCCAAAAAGAACCAAGAAGCCAAACAAAGCGGCCCAGGACGGATTCGAACCCATCGCAAATCCGCGATGCCGCTTGCCTTTTCAACAAATCCGCCCCTCCCTGGGCCACGAACAAGTCCGCGAGCTTTGCCACCCCAAGCCTCCGAGGGAATTCGCTTCGGCCGAGGGGCTCCGCTTCCACGATCAGCGACTCGTCGAAGCGGCGTTCAAAGCGGCGCTTCGCGTCCCAGTCCTGGAGAAAGGCAAGCCCCTGGGACCCGCATTAGGTCCCACCTCTCGCAATACCACAGATGCTGAAATCCATAAGACCCTTCAAATGCAGAAGTCAAACAGAAGGGAACTGATAGGGAACTGTACCTTCAGGCATGGCCTCCAAAAGACTAAATACAGTTGTGTTCTGGACAGGTGCTCTTTCGAGTTGCCAGTACATGCTAATACACAATACACCAAGACATCACTACACCAATAGACCGAGATACCAACAAACCCGGAAAAGATGATGGGGTGGGCAATCCTGGCAACCGAAGCTTGCAAATGTTCGAAACATACAGAACATCCGTGCATTCCCCGAAATCTCAGTCGAACCAATCACTGGTGCCAACGCTTTGGACCTGGCCCCACGCCACGCGCGAGCCGTGCGGTCCACAGGCTGCGGCAGCAGCGACGTGTCCAGACCTCAGGCGAGGGAGGTCTTCGGATCAACCCCCGGATTTTCTGAGATGAAGAATTCAAGATCTTGACATGCACGTGGGTGTTTCTTGATTTGGGGGTACCCTTTGTGGGGTTGGTTTAAAGGGAAACTCTTTGAAATTTGGAAGTCCTCCCATGTTCAAACACACCCATGTACATGACCGACAGAATGGCCGAAAATCAGACCTGAATACATCCACAAGCCGCCCCACTAAAATGGACCCAGCTCCGAACAAAGTGTATAAGAGCAATCATAGTTCGCGCATGCGTCACACGCTGTCCTTCTGTTGCTTCTGGCTCAAACGGGGGATGCTGGGAAGTCTTGTTCGATTCTTGCGGGGTGAAACTTTTCACGATTGCAAATGGCCCACTGGTTAAAACGCATTACAACTAAAAATACACTTCCGATGCCATTCAATAAGTTTTAACACATGGCCCGGCCCTCTAGTAGCCTCAGGTCGAGGGGAACTCTTGAAATATTTGCCTTGGTTACAGCTCAAATTCTAGACCCCCCAAACAGAAGGGAAGGAATTCTCCTCAACGAAGCCGCATTCTGAGAGGCCGCTCGAACATAGTGACCTATTTTGTTCGAATGGGGGTCAGCCTCTTAACTGCGCAAATCAACAAGCGATACAAATCAAGCTCAATATTTTGCGAGCTTAACTTGGTTGGAGCCAGGCACATGTGTGCTTTTCTACTTGGTTCCTAAAGTTAGACACATGAAACGACTCGTAGTCCGGCCCCAGCCCTTGATCTCGCGAATGGCAAGGCTGAACTCGAGAAAGGGCGGACCATTCGAGCTCAAGAGAGCCCAACGCCCACCAAGATGTTGCCTTCTATCAAAATGGTTTATAAAGAAGTGCGCATAAACTGCTATATGACTATAACCCCTCATAAAATCTGGGTATTCGATCCAGGCTCGTGCCTTTTGTGTGCATGCCTTATCGACTGGACAGTTTGACTGAACTGAAGTGGTAAGGGATCCTCAAGCAAGGGACACCAAGTGAGCTCGCGGTAATTTGCCCAAAGCGATCCCGGCTTTGTTGGGTGTCTATAATTCAAGGGGCTAAATCGTTGGCATGGGGGATTGGGGTACTTCAAAAACAAACTTACTTCATGATTCTGGGGGGTACACCTTGCATTAATGCTTTTTTTTTGCTGAGGGTAAACCAAACTTACTTCGTGACTCCAGGGGTAAACCTTGCATTAATGTTTTCTTGTTTTGCTAAGGGTAAACAAACTTACTGAGTGCATTTTTAGCCCCTTGCATCATGTGGAGGGATTTGGGTGCGAGAGAAACATCGGGCCCCGGCAAGCAGACTCCATCTCCGCGCCGCCGCCCGGCAGGCCAGCCACCATGCCGACTGAGCGCAGTGTCACGTGGCTGTGGTTGTCAAAACCGTTTCGGGATCGCATTTTGGTTGGTAGCTGCACCACCCATTTTAGAACCTATTTTAGTGGGGATTGGGATGTTCACTGGGGGTACAAGCTTTTGACCCATGGCCACATCTGGAAATCAAGCGAAGTCTGTGATGCCAGAAGTCAAGCGGCTGATTCAAACCCCTGCTTGCAGACCCACGGGTTGAGATCAACGGGTTCCGAGCTCACCCGAAAAGAGCCCCCTTCAACTGGTCTGTAGCTGGTAGGCCCATGTCCCTGCCTGAGCACAGGGGTCCCTTCATGTTTCCGTGCATGACACTTGGGGGATTCCCTTGAATTGCCCGGCAAACCAGTGACCGCAAGGATTCGGAATCAAAACCTGGCGCTGTGCGAATTGAAGGAAGAAGCCACAAAAAGGGGCTCCTTTCCCAAAAGGAGATCCTCTTGAGAAACAATGGTTTTGCAGGTTTGAAACGCAACAGAAACATGATCTGGAGAAAGTTGAAACTCCTATTGGGGTGCCCTTTCTTGGCAGCTCCATGTTAGTTTGCAGAGGTAGTTCAGGGGTCCAAAAACCGTTGGACGGGGTCCCTGAAGAACGTTGCTCGGACCTTATGGTGGGAGGACAACTGGATGGCTTCAAAGAGAAGCCAAAGGGACACCAAGCATTTTGTGGGTATCCTTCTTCAGGCGACGCCCAACATGAGTCATGAAGAAAAGCTGACACAAATCAGCAGGGCGGAATTCCGCAGCTCTGCCCGTGCTTCGATGGCAGCTCATGATGGGAGTGGGGAGAGCATCGCATAATAATTACATTGGGATTTACGTCCGCCAACAGCTTTTAAAGGCTTCCAAAAGAAAGACTCAGAGCGACATCGATATCTGCCAAGCAACCCAAGTTTACCTCTTGCGGCCAGATGTACACAACCCGCATGCAACGGTCTCAAGGTCTTCTTTCGAAGGAGCGACTGGCATAGTCCCATGGTCACAGATTGAAACACCTGAGAACAACAGGCTTGAGACGCAACTGTTGAATGTGCTTTCTGTCAATGTCTTTGCTTTCTGGAGAAGGAGACTCTCACGTTGGCTCTTCGCTTGCTTGTCCCCTTGCTCCTTCTCTGGCCTGCTCCAATGGCCTCAGCACACTTCCCAGGCTTCTTCCAGCCCAGGCTGTAGTCCGGCCGCACCTGGCCGAAGTTCTGGTAAGCGATTTGGCAAAACCCAAAAGGCGGAATAACTTCTCCATCTGCTTTCACCCAACTGTAAGGGCTCCTTAAAGGAAACTTCACAAGAGGAATCCTCTAAATCAAACTGATCAACACGATTTGGGTTTGGCAGGGCGTTTTAAAGTTCCCTTGAAAAAAACCTTTTGATATGGGGTAATATCGGTCCGCCATTTTCAGGGAGCATTGAAATTCAAATCGCCGCCAAGGGCCCCATACGGAACCCATTCATTTTCTCCGCCTGGACGCGGCGCACGCCGCCCACTGCCATACCCACCAGGCCCTCGTCCAGCGCCTGACGGGATTCGGCCGGCGACGTTGGAGATTCCAACGTGGCATCTCACCGAAACAAATCCGAAGCGTCCCTTTAAAGAGGCTTTCCAACCAACACAATTTTGAGGACCCCTCAAATTTAGCCAAACTGGCCAAACATGCAAATCCTGTTCAACGAATCTGTTGGCTTGCCATGACTAAGCATGTTGACCAAAATCTGGTGACCCAGCATGCCTGTACATGTCTTCAATTGTTTTGAATGATTCTACAATCAGAAATAAGGCATCCTCAAATGAATTACATTATAGCGAGCTTGGTTTACATATTTTCTCTAGCTCACCTCCAAGTAGGCAAAACGACGAGGGGTTTCGCTGTTGGTGGGGGAACGAGTTGGCCAGGATGAAACTAGCGCACAAAGGAAGGTGTGGGATTTAGAAGGCTGAGAGCATTGCGCTAAGCTCGGATGCCTTGGAAGCGAACGTCCAAAGAATATTTTATGAGCCACACGACTGTTGAGGCTACACGACTTTTGATACTTAGTCTCTCCGAATCGACCCATCCATTCCATCCATGACCCAAGGTCAACAAAGCCCACCCGCCTTCACAAACTTGCCCTCGCCCACAGGAGCATTCAGCGTTGCATCCTGCAGAAGCCAAACAGGAAGCGAAGATAGAACAACGACCTCCCCGAGTGTAATGAAGCCCCAACATGAGCACCTCCATTATAGTGGAGGCCGGTTCGCCCGAGATAAACTCGCATGTTGAGCAGAAACACATTTGCATCACCATTTACTTGGCAGCTGACATGCAAAGTATTCCGGTCACAAGCCTGTGCGGCTGTCATTCCGAAGGTCACTTGTTCAGCTTGCTTGGCTACTTAGTCAGTCGCTTGATCGCTTCGAACGGGTTCAAAGCGGCACGTATCAAGAATCAAACAGCAGTCCCGCTCAGCCTTCACAGCAGGGTGGAGCTAACTGTTCAAACATGTTCAAACCGCTATCTGTTAACAACCTCCTTTGTGGATTCTCTTCAAGGGTCCCATGGGCCCTCTTGACAGCCCAAATCCGAGGCGCCGTCGGGACCCTTGCGACGTCCGCTCCTTGGGCCCTTCGTCTTCGCCGTAGCCCAAGGAGAACAGCGTCGTCGCCTCTAGGCCGGTGGCCAAAAGCTTCATCCCATGGGGCCCCCGTTTGACAGGCGGCACAAGATCGCAAGGCGGCACCGGAGTTCAAAGAGGGGCAATATGTTCGACCCCCCACTTAGCGAGGATCGTTATACACAAGTGCAGTGGTCCCAACAACAAGGCCTAGATCAAATGTGGGATTCAAATCGCAAGCCCAGCTATAAAACGTAAGATCGATCTGCTCCTAGATGACCCCACCCAATTCCTGGGAGCCAACATTCGGCGAATTACCCTCCACAGCTGCAACCCTCATTTGGGGACGCTTTAAACGGTCTGGTCGTTTCAACAAGCTTTCTATCTGTACTTCCCTCCATTCTTTCTAGGGATCATGTCATCAGCGTCACACGACTACAAACTCGCAGGGAGTGCGAGAAGCTTCTCAAGAGAACGCAGTTGAAAAGAGTGTGGGATCGCCCTGCATTTTTTTTGAATTCCCTGCTGGGTATCGGCGAAGGCAAGCATACATGGCATACTGACAATCTCTGGGCATAACCCTTCCACCTCAGTTTCCCATGCCGTGTCCTCCCCAAAACAGACTGATGATGACAATTCTCGTCAGTTGCTGCAAAGCACACACCAAGTCGATAAAACTTTCAATTAGTTCAATTGGGTGGGAAAACAAGAAAGATTGGGGCCATAGACCACTAGTAATGGTGTCCTTTGCTCACATGAGTAATTACATTGAGTGCCAAACGGTGGGTCCCTCTCTTTGGACACACCCACATGAACGACGACTCATTTGGCGTCCGAACTGGACACCGGCCTCGCCGGAGAGCCCATCATATGATCTCTTGCCGCTGCGCATCACCCGGTACCTAAATACCGAAACGCGACACCAGGGTAGGCTGATGTAGGCTGTCAACGGAAAAAAGAACCCATTGAAATCATCGCAAAACGAGCGCTGCGGGGCTCGTGGTGCCTCAGCAACATTTGTCTGAACATGTTAAAGCAGGCGGCTTTGCTGGCCCAACGGGGTGCCACCAGCATACTAGCGATTTGGCAGCGCCTGGAAGCACTAAGATCTCTCTTCCCAAAGGATCTACTTAGCTTCATTTTTACTTTCAGGGTGCCATTCAACATGGCAAAGCCAAAGCTCAAAAGAACCGGAGAAACCACAAAAGACAACCCAATAGTCACTTCACTCGGTACATAAAGCGCAAGGGTCACTTGATCTTGAGGTCGTCCCCCGCCTTGGCCACTCCATCCTTTTCGTTGCCTGGCTTCATGTCCTGTCGGCTCGCGAGGCGACGCGATTGTGCTAAACATAAGTTTGAAGGAACCAGGATTCACCCCCGCCCCCCATCTGCCTTGTGTATTCCACATTAGTTTGAAACCGCAGGGCAACCAAGTATTCTTAGGGGGGCCTCCTACTTGGCTTCCCAAGGTGCCACGACCCGTGAAGCTGGTCTTCACTGGGGACTGATCTGAAACTGTGCCACACCACAACCCATGTTCCCCCATCACGTGCACAGTTGGACCCGTGAGTGCGTGCTCACGCACCAAGCTTATTCAACGCCCCCTATGCTTGAACAAGCCAGGTCAAGGAATCAATCCTTGCGCGGTTTGCAGGGATCAACAACATTGACATCATAACATCTTTGGTATTAACGGGTGGTAAACAACCATCATCGGTTTACAATGTTAATCCGCAATAGCCTAGGTCTAGTCGGTATATTATGTGGATTTGTTCGGCGTGCGGACCGGGAAACCAGCAGGCTGGTCCTTGTATCTGGCTCCGCTCTTTGTGACCTTGAAGGTCCTCTCCTGCAGCAAGAGCCGCCCCTGAAAGACCGCCTTAAGGGAACAAAATACACATGAAGTCATTGATAAACTGTCCTACTTCAAAGTAAACTCCATGCAACCCCTTTCAGACACCTGTCCTAAATTGAAACTTTCAGGTGGCGTTGCTTTCCCGAACGGACTTTGCTTGCTCTGTTACACCCAAGTTCATGACTCCGAGTTTGCCTCCGTGCATTGATTCCAGACTCTAGGCATGAAGAAAGAGGCATCAAATCGCTGGTTCCTCCGTACAATCCACGTCGCCTTCACAACTCTCAGGAGCAATGCATGAATGGACAAACATAAACTCGTTGCCGGGGAGCTGTGCACTCAACACGCCAGGCCTTTGCGGCGCCGCCTTCGCCGTACTGCTCCTGTCAGAGCCAAACCAAGTCGCAGATGGCCCGGCACCAAACCCCAGGGCCCAGAACTGAGTCCGAATCCAATCGAGTCCCTAAATGTGCACAATGTAGATCTTAAGTCTTGAAATTCACAAGCCAATAAATGCCAAAAGACACCCAGCGATGGCAAGACTAAAGCTCAAGGGACCTGAACATGAGCCATCACGGGCGCGCTTCTCTCCCAGCTGCATCACGCATCGCAGCTGCATTCATGTTAGGCAGTCTGAAAAAAAAACACCGGCTCTTGCTTGTCCAGGAAACAAAACATAAATCGCTAATCGCTTGGGGCCATGTTTGTGGTCCACACAGAATCAAAGGGCACATTGAAGGGGACCTGAATTGCGGCGTGGTGCCCTTTGATTGTTCGTTACATTCGCATTCTTTTGTAAGAGAGCCGCAACTTCGCGATATAAATTGACCAAGGCCGGGAAACCAACAGGCGCAACGGTGGATTTGCTTCTCACCCCTCCATTCCCCGCTCCTCCTCGCGCTGCCGGCCCAACTCCTCGCACTCCACGCGGCTCCGGCAGTCCGCCGGCCCGATCTCACGGCGGAAGTTGCAGCAAAGGGGGGGGAGGTCGGGACGGGGATTCGCTGGGCTCGCGAGAAGCTTGGGTTGGACTGGGGAAAAACCTGAGCAAAATATCCAGCTCTACTCTTCAATGAAGTTGGAACTCGAAGCAGATTCGTGCAGTTGGGGTGGGGTCAGTCGACAGGCCACCCAACGAAGCCTCCGTCCGTAGACCTCCCAAATGCAGCATACTATTGATTGGCGGCTTGGATTCGTGGCTTGGAGGTTAATGTCGACCCCGGATTAATCAAGCTGTTGGCCCGACTCAACAGGATGATATTCCCCAAAAAAGTGATCACAGTGATCCGGATTCCGTCTTGAATTCGGACATCCACCCTACTTAATCAACAGCGGGTTTGTGAATCCTGGGTCAAAATTGCGCTCAACGAGAACGACCCATCCAAATCACCAATCTGGGCAAATTACACCTAGAGACCTAGAAGTAAGGGACCTTTTGTCAGGGATGAGCTCGTTCCCTCCCCAAATCGGAGAGCTCATCAAAATTTGGATATGTTCTTCTTCTGCAAGTGTTCTTATTCCAAAATATTCCAATTTGGGATCCCAGTAAACGACCAACATGGCTTTCGCTCAAGTTAACTCCCCCCCATCCCCCCTAAAATCGGTGGAATCGCCATCATCCTGAGGCAAGGGCTGTCTTCAGGCCTTTGCCCAGGCCATAGTCCTCGCACGAGAGTTGCTTGGTGTAAGGCACCCTTGGCTCATTTCCAGGCAAAGGACAAGCTTTGCATGTCTCAAATTGGGGAAGCCCTTGTTGGATGGATGCTTTAGGTACGCCAGGAGACAAGCCACCTGGAGGAGCTAGCCCATCTCAAAAAAACAAAAAAAAAACGAGTATGAACATTTGGACAAGGTACAATGGAGCCACGAGACGAGTTTTTTCTTAAAAGTTACAAACGGGTCAAAGAACATCCTTGATTGAATCTCCTGCTTTCAGGACCCCAAAGGGTGGAGTTAAGGACCTCCCAATGGAGACATGACCATGCAGAGGTGCAATAACTACTGACATGTACATATATATATATATATATATGTATAGATAATTTTGCATAATATATATGAATTATACTCCTGTACATTGTTGGGCAAGGCCCGGGGGTTCTCTAGCCACCACTTCCACATGCTGATTCACGCCGCGTCAGCCGTGTCCTTGGGCGGTGCATTGCCCTTGACCAGCGCCTGCGCGCCTTCGCTACCTGCGAAAGCGCTCGGCCATCGTGAGTTCTCTCTGAGTGGAAACTCAAGGACGGCGGCCCAAGAGGGGTTGTGTGCATCAAAAAGATAAAAGATGACGGCCGGCTTGCAGGACGGCTTTGAGATCAGACGACTTGCAACGGGTTTGTGAACTGCTTCTAAAAAACATCAACCAAGTTGAATGCAATTTTGATACATTGCACTTTGCATATTTGAAACCACGCAGCTCCAGGCCAAATTCTATATTGCTCTGCAGCCTAAAGCTGGGTGGTTCAAAATCAGCCCCTGATTGGTTTCCTCGTTGTGTTCCTCTCCTGCAGATTTCGGAATATTTGTCCAACCCATTTTTGACCAGCCGCACCGCAACTTTGCTTTTTCTTTCGTATATATTGTATTCCTTGTGGTTTCCTTTCAAAGGGGGACCGGGTGAAAAGACGTTGCATCAAACTTTCCCAACCCAAGTGCCCTCATGTTTGACTGTAGCACATCATAGTTGTGACATCCCAACCCAAAGCGTCCTGGCCCTGGTCCGTGCAATCCTCAATTTTCATCCCAAGTGCACTGAGGTTGCCTCTCTCAAGGGAGCTGGCCTACCAGGGATGTGGCTGCTGCAAGGAACGCGCCGCGACGTCCCCTGGCGGGTCCAGGCACAACCGGTGCGAGCGCCTCAGGGCCTCGAAGGTTGTTTTGGGGTGTTGCTTTCTGGGTGCTTTGCTCCCAGTTGTTCAGTGCCTCTAGTGACCCTGGCGGAAAAAGGAAACGCTCTTTGGGGTTGACCACTTTTAGTCGGGAATCCACCAAACAAAAGGGGACGAAGGCTGCCACTGAACAATTTGTTCCAACCAAAACAAGCCCAACAGCTGCTCCGAAGACACCTTCAAGCTAGGGAGCTGCTGTTTGGAGAAGGACAAGAGCACAAGAGGACCCGATGTGTTGATCCTCTACCTTTGCGGTTTTGGTCGTTGTTGAACGGTTCGGAGCAACCCTGCATTTGCTCAGATGCCCCCAACATTGTGTGTGTGTGTGTATGCAGTATGCACATGTGTCTTTTTGAGGCTCGGCACTTGTTTTTTGTGTGTTTTGTGATATTTTGTTGCTTGTGCCCAGGAAGAAGCAAGGGAACACCCACCCATTTTGGGGGATCCAACAAATCATGGCCCCCAAAAAAGAAAAAACACTTGTTCGGAGCAACCCCCTTTAGAAACAACACACACACGAAATGACTCGCCCCGACTCCTGACTCACCATCCCAACCGCCTCAGGCTGGAACCTGGCGGTGTGGCACACGGGATGGACCGAGGGGACCACCTTTAGCTGGTTTTCCACCCCCACCCTCTTGTTGGCCAAGCAGCTAGTATGCAGCAACCAGGTTTGGGTTCGGACAGGAAGCCTTGTTGGAACCGTTTGCCGACATGTTCTAAGTTTTGGCTCTCGTCCTTGACTCAAATTAAAACACCTACAAACAAATAGTTCAACGCTTGCCAACTCGACCAGGATCAACATGTTCACACCTTGGGCATTCGAAGCAAAATCTGCCTTTTTGTGTTGAGAAGCAGAACGACACGTACAAGCTGCTGAAACGTTCCCAACGAGTCTTCGACAGGACACCGACTTCGCCTTCCGAGCCCAGCCAGCAAGGCCGGACAGCGACCTGACATCGCAGAGATCATAGGCGAAACGAGCGCAGTCTGCAAATGAAACTGGCTCACTGTGTCAATTTAAGGGACAGTCTCAAATCCATTTTGCAGAGTTGTGTTGACAGGGAAACCACCCGTGAACGCAAAGTTGAACACTCCTCCAAACGCTCACATGAAACTGGGTCCCTTAAACAGTTTCATTTGGAAACGAGGATATCAAGCATTGCCCCGTATATGCCATACGAGTTGCCTTCATGAGACACGCTCAGACTCAGGCTGCGACAAGGCTGCACAGCAGCAGGAAAAAAGGCCAGCGCCTGGCTCCGCGAACAGCAAATACTGAAACTTGATTGGCCCTGAAGTGTCGCAAAAGGCTGCGTCACCAAATTGACATTGAATGTGAAGAGTTGAGTCGACACATTTGTCCGCGAGACATCTGAAACTCTACACGAGCCCGCGCGCCTGCGGCCAAGCCGTAAACGAAAATTGCGGAAAACCTGCGCCAGGCAAACATGCGCAACCCCTGCGTCTGCAAATCCGAGTGCCCCTCTTCCCGTCTGTGAGCCGGCCTGCATCAAGCCAGGACGAGAGCTGCGCTGTTGTTGAAACAAACAAATCAACCTGTGCTGCAAACAAACCACTTCAAGGCAACTGCACAAATCATAGAGATCGTGATTTAATGAACCATGAAAAAGCTAACATAGATACTTACACAAGAACATGCATTGGGTTTGGGGAGTTTTGTAAGACCAAAATTTGTTTCCAGTCCGAAACGGCTGCGAGTGCAAATGCTGCTTCTGCCACGACTAGCTGTGGTGCGTTCCCTGATTAAGAACCCAGTGCCCATCCTTCCTTGATTTTGCTTTTGGTGGCTGAACCAGAAAGTGCTGAGACTGAACCGGCTAACCCTGATGCCTTCATTCAGGACTTATGACATCAAAGAAACAGGTTCTCTGGAAACACCTCCTCAAATCTGACTCCTGAGCAAAACAGCTCAGGAACTCCGATAAACATGAAGACCTTATTGCTGCCTTCACCTCCGCAGGCCACATGCACTGAGTTCATGGAATATATGATCCTGTAACTCATCAACTCTTGGAGTCGCAGGACGCTCGCCACACATTTACTGTACAGTACGTCAAGCTTCCACAGCTTCGAGGAACACGACACATCGTCTATTCGGATTATCAAACGACACTATTCAACGCATCAGCTATATCTTGGGTCCAATCTATAACCCACATGTTCACATACATGTATATAACTCCAGTCCAAGCCGCAATTCTTGACTGACTCAATTTAAGTCTGCAACAAAACACTCACGCGTGCACTAACTCAAACACCTCAATCAAACAACGAAACAACCAGATGTACCGTCGAGCCAACTGATGCCCTCCCTTCTTTCCACGGCCCAAAGTAGACAAACGGCTCGCTGAATGGATGCCGAGGAGCGGAAAATAATAATAATCATAATCATAACCAAAGGAAGCTTAGAAGGAACTTCCGTGTTGCGGCAAGTAATTGAAAGCTAGCGCTCTGAGACAAATCACAAGAGAAGGAATAAGCCCGCGAAGAAAAAATGCGCGCGCGTGGCAGGGGAAGAGAAAGTCGCAAAAACGTGGCCCTGTGCGTGAATCGGCGTCTCCGGAGATGAGAAAGTCGCAAAAAGCGTGGCCCTGTGCGTGAATTGGCGTCTCCGGAGGTGCGAGAGCTAGCCTGTCCGCGGCGTCTGGTCGGAGCGGTCTCGGAGCGGGCTCGGGGCATGGGCCGGGCCCATTGGCACGGCAACGCGGAGGTTTCGCAGGGTTTGAGTTGCGTGGCAGGCGCAACATTTTGGCAAGGTCGGGTGCAGATGTCGTGGCAGGCGCAGCACTTTCGCAAGGTCAAGTTTTCCCAAGAAATGAATCGCATGGATGGCGCAGCACTTTCGATAGGTCAGGCACAGATTTTGTGGCAGGCACAGCACTTTCGCAAGGTCAAGTGCAGAATTCGTGGCAGGTGCAGCACTTTCGACAGAACAGGCGCAGATTTCGTGGCAGGCGCAGCACTCTCGCAAGGTCAAGTTCAAATTCGCAAGGTCAAGTGCAGAATTCGTGGCAGGCGCATCACTCTCGCAAGGTCAAGTACAGAATGTGTGGCAGGCGCAGCACTTTCGCAAGTTTAGGTGCAGATAGATAGATAGAGAGAGAAAGAGAGGTAGAGATAGATAGATAGATAGAGAGAGAGAGAGAGAGATACATAGATGGATATATTAGACGGTAGATAGTTAGAGAGAGAGAAGAAAATAGATTGATAGATAAATGGATAGATAGATAGATAGAGAGATAGAGAGAGCGATAGATAGATGGATAGATAGACAGATAGATAGATAGATAAAGAGATAAATAGATAGATTCAGAGATAGATAGAGCGATAGATAGATACACAGAGAGATAGATAGATAGATCGATGGATAAGATACGGTTGAAGCCCGAAATATTGCAAGTGCGGAGCAAAGAAATAATGGCACCTGTCACAACAGGAAGCACAGAAACATGACATCTGCGGCCCCCCCTCCCCTGACTCAATGTTGAACTTGCAAGATATTGGGCCTCGGAAGACGGGCTACGCACTTGGCTTCAACATTGTACCTGGGGGTGCGGGGTCCGCACGCAGCGGGCGATGCCATAGAAGTGGTGTCAACATCCCATGTGGTGGTGCTTGCAATATTTAGGGCTTCCACAGTAGAAAGTGGATAGTTAGAGAGAGATGGAGAGGGGTAGATGATAAAAAAAGAGATAGACAGATAGATAGAGAGCGAGAGAGAGATAGATAGACACATAGATAGGTGGAGAGAGAGGTAGGTCGATAGATAGATAGGTAAAAAGAGAGAGAGAGAGAGAAAAAACGAAGGAAGGTAAAAAAGAAAGATAATGAATGAAAAAGGGAAGGAAGGGCACGAAGGAAAGAAAGAACGAAAGAACGAAAGGAAGGAAGGAAGGGAGAAAGAAAGAAAGAAAGAAAGAAAAAAAAGAAACAAAGAAAGACATAAAAACAGAAAGAAAGAGAGAAAGAGAGAAAGAAATAAAGAAAGAAAGAAAGAAAGAAAGAAAGAAAGAAAGACAGAAAGAAAGAAAGAAAGAAAGAAACACAGAAAAAAATAAAGAAAGACAGAAAGAAAGACGGAAAGAACAGAAACAGTGAGAAAAAAAAGGACAGAAAGAAAGAAACAAAGAAAGAAGAAAGAAAGAAAGAAAGAAAGAAAGAAAGAAAGAAAGAAAGAAACAAAACAATGAACAACAAGAAGGACAAAAAGAAAGGGAACAGAGTCAAGAAAAGAAAGAGAAATGTACCTATAGTTTTTATATTCTTGAAACTTCCGCCCACCGGCCTCGCCGGCTCTACTGGTAATAATAACAATAATAATAAACTCAGCTCTTCATGCTCGACCCGAACGTTCGCAGAGGGCTGCGCGAGCGAAGCACACATTAGTTCGTGGATGGTTCACTATTTAGCATTCGCAAAAAAGACGTTGCGAGCGCCATGACATGGTGAAATCTCCGCAAACGCTCCGAGACCACTCTACGCCCGCCCGAGGCCGTCTGTTCGATTGAGCAAGGCTTCCTGGTCTGGCACCACGCGACACTGCGCAAAAACACGTCATTTGCCCTTTACTATTCTTTTTGCACGTGTTGGCTCTTGCTTCTACACACACACACATACACGTGAGCGTGTGCAGCACAGTCATCAAGTTGAGTGCCACGGAAATTCTTCTAAGCTTCCCAGGATGATAGCACCCGCTCGTCCAAGAAACTAAGAAATATGTGTTGCACCAAATAAACTGGAAATCTGGAAGGCTGACTCAGGACAACAGGGCCAATCTCAAAGCAGCGCAAAACTATCGGCCAAGAAATCAAGAAACAATTCAGCAGGTTTCTCCGACTGTGGGCTTTCATGAACTTGCCCTTGCCCGTCAATAGCCAAAGAAAGTTTAAGAGGAGCCTCCGTGGTAATTACTGGCACTTGCGCATGGAAAAACACAGATCAACAGAAAATCGAGAAGTGGGATGGGAATTCGGCTCCGGAACGGTCCCAAACCGCAGCCTTTACAAACTCGGCGTTGCTTGTTGCAATGTTTGTGCGGTTTTGGGCGAACACGAAGTAGCCCAGGGAATCAAAGAGGTACACGTAATCCACGAAGTACCAAAAGAACCCAGTCTCAACGCACAATGGAGAAGGTGCTGGTGACCAGGATCAGGTTTGGGGAGGTTAGAAATGGGATTGCAATACAGTAGTTTGAGGGACAGGCCCAAGGACACCTCGACGGCCCACCGAACACCTCCTACCCCCAAAGCGCCGCGGCACCACAAAGCCTTTTGCGGCGACGAAGAGCGATGCCAGGATATGGCGTTCGCACGCGAGTCCGAGGGGAACTTGACGGGAGTTCCCAAAAACTTGAGCCAAACGGCCATTCGGCCGTTTTGCCATATGAAGAAACAACACGTGAACAAAACACACCCCCCTCATCCGATATCTGGACGAGAGAAAAGGATGCGAGACAGTTGAGTTCACGACGAAAGGGACCAACCAAAATGCCGGTGTTAACTCAGAGGTGAGCCAAACGGCAGCACCTGGGCCCCAGTTAAAATCCCGCCACCACCCCGAATTAGCGGGGCGACAGGATTATTTGACGAGTGGGCCACATGAGTGAACAAAGACATCATGGAGGAACCAGACGAAGATTCCTCTCGTGCCGTTCATGTCTTGTCGTGGGACAACAACATGCGGAGGGGGATCCTATCTGGATCACCGCGCCTCGCTGCACGCCGTGAAGTGGTTGGAGGAGTAAACGAGTTGGGAGGAAAGAAGAGAAGGATGTTCTGAAATTGGTGTGAAAATATCCGGCTACGGCCGGCCCGGCACTTCTAGTGCGGTCACAGCCTCACACAGGATCGCCAGGGGAACCGTCTCCGGCGCGCACGGCAGCGGTGCGGGAGGGACACGACCAACGCCGGATCAGCGGTACAGGGCAATGGAGACCATCACCCCCAGCAGTGCCGCATGGGCGAGAGGAGGACCGGCGCGGTCGCGTTTGTCGGCGACGCACGTGCCATCCTCGCCCTTCTAAGGCGGATGCTGCTTGCGGTACCTGCCTACCACCCCGAACCAGGTTCTTCCCGGTCTCTGGGCGCGTCGTCTCTCCGGCGTCCACCGCGGTCACCTCGATCACCCCCTCCATCCCGACGGCGATCCTCTCCACCACCCCTACTGTGGTCGCCAGCCGGATGTCGGCGAGGCGGAGGGGGATCTGATTGGTGACGTCGGTCATCCCTGCGCCGGTCCCGGTGGCGATCGCGACGGTCATCACCCGGGTCATCACGTCCGCGGCGCTCATCTCGCCCCGGACCGCGCCTCTCGGAGGTCTCCTCATGACGTGGAGGAGGTCGGCGATCATCGCGTCGGCCTCCGCGATCATCCCTTTGTCGGGGCGGGCCAGGATCCTCGCGTCCACCTTTGCCAGGTCGATGTTTTCCTCGGCCCTTCCCCTCACCCTTAGGACCGCGACGATCCTCGCGGGCCCCAAGTGCAGTCCTTGACCGATTGTCATCTCGGCGGGGCCGCGACTCATTTGCC